AATAGAGAAGAAGAAGAAAGTTACTTGTCAACTAATCGCTAAATAATTGACATGAATTGTTTGTGTAAAAGGGGTATGAACAATTTTAACTTCTTAAAAATCGTACAGTTACGATGACTCTTATCTTTATTCGAAGATAAAACATACGGATACTTTATTCAAAATTAACAGAAACATTTACAACTTTGACATAGAAAAAACACTAAGAGGTGAGACTATAATGTATGGACGACCTTTGAGTGTTGCTAAACTGACCTTGAGAGTGTCCATCTAACAACTAGAAACAAATATAGATTATAAACCAGCATGAGGAATTAGAACTATGATGTACAGTTGATGGTTAAGGTTAGGAATTAGATTTAAGATTTTCATCACGAACTGACATCAGCTATGATGCGAAAACTTTATTTAACCAAATGAATAAGTGAATTTTGCAACAAAATATGAAACCTATTTTCTTATACTTGGTTGGTTCGTCCACAAATTATAGTGTCGTTACACTAAAAAAGTATTTAGTTAGAATTAAATTCTTGTAGAACCTATTTTCATGCAAATTATTGTTTGAGGATCAACAAAAACCAGACGATATAAATAATAATTAAGTTATACACGAATTTAGTTTTCGTTATATTCATACAAAACTAATATTGTGTCAGATGGGTTTATTATTTATAAGTTAAAAGGATAGCCAAATATTTATTACCTAATACTGTTACCTAAATATTTGTGACCAGATTTCCCAGTGTACTGAAGATAATACAATTCATTCATTCTGAAAAACCAAATACATACTTATACGATTTGATGTAAAAGCATAGAACAAGCTAGTAGATGACAATCTATATGTATATCAGTATTAGATAAAAACTATATTCTAATACTTTAATTTATGTGTCGAAATTCGTTCAGACTGGAGGCACTTAGATTTATCGTCTGAAAATCAGAACGATTATTTTTGTTCATGTAGATTCACATTATCAAAGGAATTACATCTTGTAAGGTATTTTTTTAGAGTGATATATATAACCACTTGGGAAATATGAATTGTTCAATCGAAATAACTGTTTAGTACTTTTTTAAAGATTGCCCAGTTAGAGTTTGTTTATGGTGTAAACTATTTTTAAATTAAATAAGAAGCAAATAAACTTGTTAAATTAATGACAACATTTTAATATCGATAATTTTATAGAAAATTTATGTGTACAGATGTATGTATAACTGAAAAAAGTTATTTCAATACTTGTAAAACAGCTAAACTTGATCTCACGACGGTTTATTATCATAAACAATACGAAGCAATTATTTGATAATCGATTCTCTGATCGTGATGGTATCCGAAACAAATTAATTCAGCAAACCTATGTGTGCAATAAAACAAGGAATACAAGATATTTTTCATTATCAACGTCTTTGATAACAGTTATTAAAAATGTTAGATGATAAGGGAGCTTGCCCAGAAATTAAATCTAGGCCTCATAAACGGTGATGAAAACAAATGATAAGATTTCTTATGAATCATTATGGGTATTTAATTCAATTAGTCAAGTTGTAAAAATTGATCTCCTGCAGTGGACCCAATAACAAGATGGTACTGGCACATTTATAATCCCAATAATGAAGCAAATATGATACATTGTTTAGACCTTACTTAGAAGACATTGATGTAACAACGATAAAAACTTAAGTAAACGGAATATATCCATTAAGACGTAAAATAATGAAGATTCGTTCAGCAAAATGTTCTCTTTTCAGTGAATTCATTTTCAAAGCTGTACAATCGCAAATATGTATAGTTATTTTTCAAGATAATAATAATAATTGCAATAATAATGATAATAAACTTCTGTTAAACATGGTAACAGTGAGGCTTTATTCTACCTCATTGTTACCATGTTTAACAGAAGTTTATTATCAGTATTATTTAAATTATTATCATCCTGAAAAATAATTATACATATTTGCGATTGTACAGCTTTGAAAATGAATTCACTGAAAAGAGAACTCTTCACTGAACGAATATTTCTTATTTTATAATAAAACCTTAAACATACATTCTTTATCATTGACAAACATAATTTGACTTTTTATGTTTTAAATAATTATTGTATGATGTCAAGTAATCAACGATATATAAGATAAGCTATGTAAATCACTATCGAGTTTTACTATAACTTTTGTTTGATGGTTGCAAACAAATGGTAGGCAGCCTTGGTTTCAGATCCTATGCATACATATACAAAACAAATCTAACATGGATTACTAAACCCAGTTACTGACCCTTCCAACAAAGAAATTGCTTCGAATTACTAAGCATCACATTCAAACAAGTATTTAGACATAATCTGTTAGAGGAATACTATTCAGAGGTTATAACACATGTGAGATACATATAAATTTAATTGTCAGACTTTTTTTCTAACTTCTATCTGTCTATAATATAGTCCTTGTGCCATTTATACTATTCACAATACCTTATCATTCTTCTGTTTCAATTAACTCTAATCAACAGAATAATTTGACATATTTAGGGATATTCACTGATTAAAAACTTATGAAACCATTGATCAGTAATAAAATTACAAGTGAAAAAGTATGTTCTAAAGTATGATACCTTTTGACTTTCTTGTGTTTATTTCTCTATTATAACTTGATTTGTTTATGTATCACATATCTATTGCTAAAACTGTTTATTCATTCTTATTACAATTGGCAATCTATATGAAAATGAATTGTACTTACATCCTGAATATAGTTATCATTTCAAATGATTGAAAATACATGTAACACATCTTAATCAGTTGATTATAGACTTCTAATAAAATAATTATCCTTTTTGTTTGATAGAAATAAACATACAGTGATTTCATTCATTTAGTTAAAGTGATTTTTTTCGTTAATTCTTGACATTAGATTACTTTAGTGGAAAACATATATAGATGAGTGATTTTTGTCATAAACGTTAGTTAGTCTTTTTTTCTTTTGCTCTATTTAATTAAATGAAAAATACTACTGATTTTGTTTCTTTTCATGAATCAATGGTATATATATTGGGATAGAAAAATAGTTTTGTAAATAAAACAAAACCCCTTCTGATATTAATCAATATATGCTCACTGGTGACTGGCTTCAGGGTGTATATCCTGGAGTTCTAGTGAGATAGTAACTCACTGAAGACAATGGTAGATGTGCCGCTCAATTTCGTGGATTATTTGAAGCTAGACATTAACACCGTTGGATACCGGACCAGTAGTCTAGTGGTTGAGTGCTCATGCTCAAGAGTGATAGGTCCTTGGTTCGAATCTCGCGAGGCGAGGTCGTGGATGGGCACTGCTTTGGAGTCCCACAATAGGACGAAATGGCCGTCCAGTGTTTCCAGGTTTTCCGTGATGATCTAGCTTCAATTGGCTCATGATCCGAAATATTCAGATCATAAAGATATTTCAAAAGTAAAGACTTAGTAGCATAAATTCCTAAAATCTTAATTTCTGGATTTTGTATTATTCAGCTAAATTTTTAAACATTAAAAAGGTGTAATTGGATTATTGCAAGTGAACAGTAAAAAAGGTGGTTGCACTAATAATATTGTCATTTTAAAATATTGCGAGCCAATTGTAATTTTCAATATGAAAGTTATTTTGAGATCAGTAAGATAACTCCGGTATTTTTATTTATTTTGTTGATTTTATTTCGTTGTATTAATGTGGTATGTTAACTTGGGACAAGCAACATCTACGTTGATGATTGATTTCAATCAATGAAAATTTATAACTTAATTGATTTGCCATATCTTATAACTAGTTTCAACACTATTCATTCAGTCGTCTCATGATAAGCGGGAAATGTCCCGAAGATATCTATGATTAGATATCAGCAATCTACGTATGTCTATCACTTATAAAATCCATATTTTATGCATATAGAGAAATATAGAGTTGATTGCCTCACTTTACAATTTTTTTTCTATCCGAAATTCCTGTTGATACATAATAATAAAAGGTAGATGTTAAAAGAGTAAAACAAATTTTTCTTTACATGAAAATAAGGATTTCTCCATATTTATTTAATGATAATAATAATAATGAATAATGGTGGCGGTACAAGCAATCATTTGTTAAATAAAATCAAAATTTTAATCTTTATTGCTAAAAAACATTGGAATATTCATTAATGGTTGTGTATGTACGTGTAGGTGGGATTTTTTTTCGCTAAATATGTATATGCGTGTCCGTTTGAAACACTTGCATATGCATTAGTATGGTATTCATGGAAGAATTAAAAAGCGAACATTTTCCACACTCATATATGTAATAATAATAATAATAACAATAATAATAATATAGAAGAGAACAATGATAATAGTAATATTAGTTTTCTCTTAGTAAATCATTACGACAGGATAAGGCACTTCCCCACTTTCTCTCTTTTCAATTGACCAACAATAGTCGAATGTTTAGCATCTTGCATTATAAATATAATCAAGTGAAATAAATTATTTACTAAATCAGCCCTCATCCCAAACAAAAAAGATAAGCGAAATGTGTCTAAGAAAATAAGACAGGAAGATTAACAGGAACAAATGAGAGTTTGGTAAAAACAGAAGACTGGAGAACAAGAAAAGGTCGGCAGCAATAAACACATGGCTACAAGGAGATTTACATTTCGTTTAACATATAATCATAATGTTATTCGATTAATTTTAAAATGTTTGTGTATCTGTACAATTCTCAGTTATATGATCATCAAATATACCACAATTGTCACAGTATAAACGATTTATTGTTGTTACAGATGAATTCTGTTTAGAAATTTTATGAAAGTTTTTTAAAGATGACTTTCTAGGGATTTCATCATGGATTATTGAGTTTTTAATCATACCATTAGTGGTATAATGTTGATGTGGTTGATTATTCCCATTTGTCTGTGAACAGTCTTTTGTATCATGACTATCAAATACAAGACAATTATCACACCATAGACGTGTAGGTGGTGGATTACGTGATTTGATATGTTTATTAGAAAGTAAGCTGAAAATAGAAGAGTAAAATAATAATGATTAGATAATTGAACTGAAAAGATAATTTTATTTTAACAGTTAAAAACTAGATCATTCTGAATTATGTGTAATATCTGTACATAAGTTGTACTGATCATGGATTGATATCTCAGTCGACGTATTATTGAAAATTATAGAGTACTTGGTACTGGCCCTGTATAAATACCTCAACTGAGATTAATTTATGACGAGTACAAACCACAAATTCAACTAATCTCCAAGATTCTCTACAATTAGAATTTATCTATTTATTTGTCTTTGAACAAGAAAACTCCTCTAGGTATGTAACCTTACGAGAGCAATAATTTGAGTTATACATCAGAAAGTTAAATATCCATTAAGAAAAAACATGTATATAATCAAAATGGGACCGAATATATTGATTAAAAGCTGACTGAAAATACCATTGTTTATTTTGGTAGTCCGATTCAAGAATAAAAGTAGGTTTTCCTCCCAGTGATATTCCGTGTGTATGCATGAAGTTGTTAAATAAATATGTAATCTTATAATGTGATAAATAAATATGCATGTGCTTAAGGATATTTATGACAAGAGTTAGAATGAATAGTATATGAACTCCAATGCGCACACAATATATTTTACAAGAAAAATGAGATGTGAAACAATATTGGAAATGAAAAAAAACTAAAATTGTTCAACCGGTTGAAAAATTTAAAAGAAAAACAGTTTCGTATCTTAGAACGATAAATTAATTCAAATTCCACTAAGAAGTAAACAACATTAACCAGGTAATTGATCAGCTCGATATTAAAAGGGACGGAAGAAGTTTCATTCTACCATCAAATAACTCTTGGTTTCACATTCACACGTAAAAAAGGACTATGTTTTATGATATATGAAATTTGTTTAGTAAGTGATATAACGAACGATTTTAGGCCTTTTTTCTCTTCGGTATACCACGCTACTAGGATGGATTGGATGATTGGATTTACAATACCGCCAGATTGGATACTCGAACAACCCGATATATGCAGACTAGATGACGTTACATAAGAGGCCAGATTTGCGACCAAAATAGAGTACCAGAATAATGGTAGGCAATGCTTCATTCAACACAATAACAAGCAGTCACTCTCAGATATTATGGAGTAGAAGTCACTAAGAGGAAAAAGGTCACATATTTAATAGTCAGTAAGTTGCGTGCTTGTTTGTCCACACTCAGTAACCAATCACATTTACTTCCACTATCACACATTAGTAAGTAGTAACCGTAGTAACCTTATTAGTGAATGACCTCGAGATGCATTCATTGTTGTTTTAATGAGAATCCATGATCTGTGGAATTCCAAGAGACTAGATTTTGACAGCAATTAATTGACAACATTGTATAAGGACAGTGCTATAACATCATGGATTAATTAAAGTTGAAATTTTGAAATACTGAGATCCTGACACAGTAGGTCAATTACATCAAGCTTATTGCCAGATAGAAGAGTTTTATGTTAAATACTATGTGTAGTTTTGAATGTGCACTACTTAGAAGCACTAATCTAGGAAAAAGTAAATATCAATAACTCAGTATGAAGATCGCTTACAAATTTTACAAAGTCTACATGAATCCACAATAATAGTACTTCAACAGTTGTGCAAAGCAATACACATTATGATAATGGTAAAAATAGTAATTTTCCATTTGAAAACAGCGAATTCTTTTAACATACGTACGGTTTTCTTAAGTAACTTACTCCTATGTGATTGAGTAAAAAACAAAGATTTCATTAATACTTTCACAGTATATAACTTTTATTTATGGACAATGAATAGTATTTATGTAGAAGAGCCATAGATTATTCAATGCTTATCGAGTAGCGTTCATTTAAATAAGCGATTTGCAGACAATACAGAAGATCACTGCATAGTATCCAAAAGAAACTTATTTACATACAATAAATAAAACAATCGTAGAAAAGATTTGACAATAAACATACACGAATATTTAAAGAAATCTAAGGGATTAGGGTTGAAAAAAAGAAAATTGAATAAATAATAATAAAATATTCATAATTTATGGATGATAAATAATAACATTGTGTTTAATCCTGAGTAATTTTTCTGAATATTACTGTGAAATCATGGGTAACACATCACATAGTTCTTTTTTTTTCAATCTAGTCCTACTTCAGTCAGCATTTTGTAAATGGATAGATAGTAACAACGAAATGACATATGTACAACACTTATATGAGTTCTAAATCTTCTTTATTATTTCAAAATTAGTATCATCAGCAGTAATGCACAAACGTAACAAAATATCAACCAAACAACACGTCCTATAGACATACCACATTTTAATCTTATGCCTAGTTAGTACGAAAGACAAAAGAAAGTATATGTGTGTAGCAAAACAATAGAGTACCCAGGGCTTACAAAGATATTCACTATCTTTTTGCCAACAATGAAAGTAAAAAATATCGGTAGTAAGAATGATGAAGTTAAGCGATCGAACATGCTGTGAATTGACTGATAAAGTATAATTGTGGATTTATAAAGATATAGAAGAAAATATGAATTTCTATTATTTAGCAACCTCTTGGAAGATCTTTCTTCAGAAAAATAAGTAACTTTTATACATTAACATAGGAAAAGATTGTAAAACGAACTAATCTAATTAAAATATCAATGAATGACAGACAAATATAAACATTTCAATGTCACATTTATTGACAGTGACTAAATGTGAGTGGCATTTAATGTGTAGCTCTATGTATATCACAAAGTGTACGTGAAGATGAGATTCACAGTGAAAATGGATGATTTGATTCAAAATTGCTTTGCTTTATTTTAAATTTGTGTGAGTTGAGAGAATATTCACATAATAAGTAAACATATCTACAGGACTTCAAAAGCTAAGAGTTTATAGATTTTTGGAAGATATTTCTAGATGACCATTATTAAGATGTTACTTTCTTTATCTCTCTCATTTTACAATGTAACTGTGAAGTTATTTTTTCGTTGAAAAAAATAACGAATATAAAACGTCAAAACTCCATTTTTCCCATCCACTAAGCACGATATTACGAATATATGTGACGTTAATGAGATACCTCAACCTATTATTCACGTCATATTTAATGTACAGTAATTTTTTCAACAATCAATAACACTTTCAAATTATTTAACTAATAATATCAACTTACTCTAGTTGTTCATCTGTTCCAACAAGCATTGCTCGTACACGAGATTCTAGTTCAGCATTTTTAGCATGTAGATCAACAATGATGGAATTGAGAAAATTCACTTGTGATTCAGTTGAAGCCTTTTCTTCAATTAATCGGTTTATATCAGACTGTCCACACTGATTTGCTGTATTAAAAAAAGGGGGAAAAACAAGAGTAATGAAAACCTAGATTCGCTTCTCTGCAAACAACAATTAAGCATATTACTTGCAATGGTTTGTTGCTTTTAAAGACAATCATAAGAGACTGATTAATTGTAGTTCTTAGGATTAAATAAGGAAAAACTGTGATTTGTAGTCGTTATACAAACTAGCAGCTATTTGGAATCAGTAGCTCAGTAAGTAATGCGCTGATTGTTCGAAGCGAAAAGTATTAAGTTCGAATCTAAGAGTGAACATCAATACTGGGATACAAAATGTGCATCCACCTGACGAGCCCCAAATACCACCACCTAGTTGCAGGATTTGGACGTAATCAGTCATTGGAGGGTCGGGGTCTTTGACCACTAAACTATGGTCTTACATAAAACATGTAGATCACTGGATCAATCTCAAGAATATCAATCTGTTTCGCGTATCATTTATATTTTTTAGGAGTTTTCCCAGTCCATTATGAATTCGCCTTATGCGAAAAAAGTATAAACTATCGACACAGTGTTTCAAAGGTATCCTGTTGGCTGCAAGATTTGGAAATCCTGGATTTTGATCCGGTCAGATACGGCCAACGTGGATGCTTACAGTTGATGAACGACTTTAAAACTAAAAAGAAACAGCTACTGAACGAAGTGTAATTCTTTAGGTATGTCCCCTTAAGAAGAAAATTACGGTATGATATTTAAATAGTCCAACATCAATTATGAATTACAAGTTTGCTAACTATATTGACATGTATGGATTCATAACTCCACTTTTAGAACAATGTTAATATCATTCAGTAACCAAGAAAACACTATTGCTACAGATAAAGTCCACCTGCCACTATTAATATAAATTGAAGGATTAGTGATTCTGAAGATAAACCAAAAGATTACGTCAACATCACATAAATAATATTATAGTAAATGTCTCATAATGAATTGAAGAATGAATTTATTACATGGACAAGTACACTAAGTATAATGCATATGTACTCAGCAGTGTAAAAGTTTATATAATAACCAGAGGAATCATGTACTACATTAACGTAAAACAATGTTATCACATGATATCAGTTTGCATTTTTGTACATTAGAGTATATGATATCAGTACCAGCATCACTATCCGCGTTTTAAAGTGATACACACATGCATACACATACACGTGTATGTATGAGTTGATAGAATAACAACAGATACAGACAAAAAGAGAGCGATTAGTATGAGAAATATCTTTGAATTAATAGACAGTCAACTTGGCTATGAGCCAAAAAAACGCCAATAATGTATACGTTCACATCGATCAGTAGAAACCTAGACATACACACAATAGTGTTTTTTTTCTTAACAAAAATACGGAAAGAAAAGAGACCAATTTTATATGTGCTCATCACAAAACAGTAAAGAGAAAAATAAAGGCGAGAAATTTGATGTATACTTTTAAAGAATTAAATGTTCAGTAAACATATTTCCATGCATGAAGAGATTTATACGGAAGCAATCTTAAACACACACACACACACATGGAGTGTAAAAACAGAACGCAACGCGCACTTTTTTCATTCTTAAACTCATGGATTAAACAGAAAGATTTAGATAAGTTGAAAATGTTTTTCTTTGTGAAAAGAAGAACAACTTATCGAAAAGATGAGTTTTATATATTTTTTTCATTGTCTTCATAGTCAAAGAAGATTATAAATGAATAATTCAATGAATAAATAAACTATGTCCTAAGATAAATAAATTAGTCAAGAAAGGAGAAAGATGCGAAGTTTTGACGAAAAACTAGAGAATAATCACACAACAATAAAGAATAAGGCGCACTTTCTTTTTTTTCTTCATTGGAACAATGACTAGAATCTGTTAGGAAGCATACTGTTATAGATAAAATATGGTTTACAGAAAAGAAACATGCAAATAACAAATAATCAAAATAATAATTACTTCCAATAGTCAAAAATACCCATGTTCAATTTATGGAAAAGTGTATATGAGAAGAAAACTCTTAAGTAAAAATCGAAAAAATCTTAGAAATAATGATCTTAAATTGTTAAGAGGTGTTATAATGCAAATATTTCATTGGTAATTATAGTGTAATAAATCCTACTTAAAACAAATTAAGTAGTTAATAGGCAGATAAACAATACATTATTATAATTTACGGTATTAAAAAACAAACTGTAACCTATTGTCTTAAACTCAATGTATCTGTACGAAAAAAAAGAGTGAATAATTTAACAATAATAATTTAACATTACATTGTGACTCTCTTTCTATTTAAATACATACACTTCATAAGTATTCTTGATAACACACCTTGAATTGAATAGTTAAATTATATTTAACATGCTTATTTCTATAACTATCCATTTTTATTTATAATTTTATTAAAAATTAAATACTACTTAATTCTTAATGATTGCCCACATTGAAATTAGACAATTTTCATAACTACAATAATCATATATATAATAATGATTAATTTTAATAAGTAAGCAACTAATAATTATTTATAAATCTAAGCATAATCTTATGATATTGTTTCTTGTCTTTGTTTTATTTCAAAATGTATTCTTCATTTGAATATGCAACTAATTAAAATTTACTCTATTTTTTTTTAATAATGAAAATAGTTAATCTCTTTGATGTTTATTAGAAGCTTTTAATTAAATTGGCGCGTAATATACACTTTTGAACAGAGAATTGATCACAACTAAAGAAGATATATATCTATATAAACTAAATATAATAAGTATAAGAGATAATCAGACATGATTCACATAACTATTGATATAAAAGTAATTAAAATTAATATTATCATGATAAGTTTCTTGTAAATTTAAAATGTTTTTGAATAATTAAATATTGGGAAATTAAATTGTTCAATAGTAATATACTCGATAAATTATAAATTAATCATCACAATACCATAATGGATATATTCAGATTGAAACTATGATTTATTTGTAATATAATTTTAAATACAAAGGAGAAAGAATCTTTGTCATTTTCTGTTATCGGACAACTGGAATTTATCCATATTAAGTGTTATCAACTTTATTCGTCTTTTAAGCATCTGTAAATACACATAAAACTTACTTCATTCCATGCAAGTGAATCTACAGACATATAAGTGGATGTGACGTGATCATTTACAAGTCGCTTCATTGTTTGTTTTTTTTGATGATAACAAATTGAGTTGTGTAATTTGGTCTTACTCAACTTCGATTTAAACCCTCAAAGGCCTTGTGGATTAGACATTTAGGTCAAAGACTCGGGGTGTCGCCTCATAAGAGAACCACCTGCTTTGGTTTGGGGACTGGGGTAGTATTCCAATCCTCACGCAAATCAATGATAACTACTACTGGCCTCATTGTAACTGTGTGGCGCATATGCATTTTATAGCTTCCGTGTAGAAATGTTTATGTGATCAAATAAATATGTTTCAACTTAAGGGTGCCCGAATCAATTATTGATCGAAGTGTGGTGTAGATATCTTATCTAAGTACCAAAACTGAAAACGCTCTTGACAGTGGTAGTTATGAATCCTGATGAGTGCACTCATTTCGTATCAATATTTTATTTGACAGTTTCGTCATTTTTCCCATGGGTTTTTTATACAAGCATGATGCATTCTATTAAAAAAACTTATCAAACTACTTCATCTAAGATACTATCCTGTCTCTCCTTACGTTTTATGAAGAACTTTGATCAATACAGTGGTTCATCTTTCGCTGTTTATTCGTTTAACTTATAAACACGTAACGTTTAGTGATTACGGGAAAACTACTTAGTATCTGTCACAAATATATATCCAATCATTGTATCGTCTCATAAATAGGCATCATTCACCCCAAACTACCTTACAATTTACAACTATCAGGTCAATATCAAGATGACACATTATCGGTGGTTAGAAAAAAATGACAAAAATTATTAGTAATTAACCATATCCGAACTGATAGGTACTGGAATTTCTGTTGCAAACCAGATTTCGACGATAACGTTTATACTTCAATATATATTCAGTAAAAAAATAATCGGTTTACCTTTTGTTAAATTAAAAACAATGCAAACAGAATTAATTTTGTTGGAATCAGTAATTACCATTCATTTTTCGACTCAATAATAGATCTGATGAAATCACTGTGAGCATTTAACCACCACGTTAAACTTAGTATTTCGTTTCTCCTCTCTGTCTTCAGTGTCAGCTCATATGCTACTAACATTTCTTTGTAAATTGCCGAGTTGGACTTGCGTATCGGGTTATTCATAATATGAACGAAGTGGCATGTGTTGATTAGAAACATGCTCTATGAGAAAAACATTCCAAATTCAGATGTTTATTACCTTATATCATTTCCTAATGATTTTAAGACCGTAGGATAACAGCGCACTTTTTATTACCACATTTATACTAAGCTTGACTGAAATTTGAACGAGCATCGATGATTAGAATCTAAGGAATTTTATCATTTACAATCATAAAAACATTTAAAAAATCCACTTAAATAATCAAACTTTATCAATCATTCTACAAATAACTGATATTATGAATGGGTACGATCTTACTAAGCTCAGTTGACGAATTTGGTTGGTGTTCAAGTAAACGATTTTCTGCCTCTTTAATTCGCTCCAACAATACTTGTTTCTCAGATTCTAAAGCTGTTATGGTATGGCTGTGTACTTTCTCAAGCTCCATTTGCTGATTATATACGGAAGGTAGAAAGCCGATAGAAAAAAATGATGTTAGTGTATGAGTTATATAAAGAGTGAACAATGTTAAAGATGATCAGAACACTTATACACAAATTGAACGACTAACAAAATGAAACGACAATCAAATAAAAATTAAGAGAAATACAACCATATGTCTACAAAACGTTTGGTGATTATGATAAGGTGTATTTTAAATGCTACTTGTTATGAGACTCTTGTTACGATATAGGATTTATATATTCCAGTACTGTAAACGTAATTTACGAATAATATTCAACTGATCTAACCGTTTTATATATAGAGCTCCTTTTAATTATTTAAAAAGAGCAAAAACAAAGATTTTGACGGAACGGTATTAACACATCTGTTATAGTTCTGTACCAAAATTATAAAAGTGCATACAGAAATAATGTTAGCCAATACGAGCCTTCTTGATATGGCAAAGGCATAAATAAATTTGAAAGAATCCTTGATTGAAAGTGAATTCAGTAGAAATACGTTTAGCTTTTTATATTACTAATAAGTAGTTGATATTTTATTACAGCTTTTTCTTCACTTAGCGAAAGTTGTATCCATTTTTAAGTATCATCTGTAATAACAAAATGAAAATTATCACTACAATATATATTAGTGCAATACATTTCGAATAATCTGATAACATACATACTTGTTAAGAACATTTATATATGGAAAATAAAAGGTCAATTATACAAATGGAATGTGAAGGTAAGAGGAACAAGGGTCATAAAAAAACGATGTGAAAACAATGTGAAACGCCATCCTGGATAATATAACAATATTACCAGGATGAGTTTGGAGTGAGAACAAACTTTTTTTTTTAATATGTAAACGGGGTTTGGATTTTCGTATCGGTGTAAAATGGCTATACTTTGAAATCCATAACATTCACTTAAATCATTAATAACCCAATAAGAGAAGATAATAAACATCCATCATCATCTATTGCCAAACAAATACTTGGAACAGTTCGTAGGATGGATCTTGATTCGATTTTTGTGGTCTTGTACAAAATTATTCAACGGCTAATACTAAGGTTTAATGAAGCCTTGGCTACAAGAAAATTCAGACTCCGTTTACGTATTAAAAAAAACGATTTGTTCTCACTCCAAACTCATCCTGGTAATATTGTTATATTATCCAGGATGGCGTTTCACATTGTTTTCACATCGTTTTTTTATGACCCTTGTTCCTCTTACCTTCACATTCCATTTGTATAATTGACCTTTTATTTTCCATATATAAATGTTCTTAACAAGTATGTATGTTATCAGATTATTCGAAATGTATTGCAGTAATATATCATATTATAATGATAATTTTCATCTTATTACACTATAATACGCCCCCCAATGTTTTAATTAATATCTGGAATGAAAGTGTGAAATTTGAGCTAATGACATGAAAACGAAGAATTCTAATTTTTATTCAAGTGATATAAAAAGTGAAGTCAGATGCTACATATAAAACAAGTTAGCGTACCTATGACTTCATCGGGATAGGAACAATTAAATGAAATACTAATTAGTAGTAATGGATGAAAGAGATGTTTCGAATGTTCTACTTTAATATGCAGCATCAATCCTCCAATATACAGAGGTTCTATGGCGTGAGATCAACATCCGACAACCTCGAAAGTTTGGAAATATCGATTTTAAGTTAAACAGAGGATTCCAAACTTTCTTGAATTATGTATGCCAAATAACTGGAATAGATATGTTTGGAAATTTATGTTTTTCTTCTTTATCCAGGGGTCATTATTAAAAAATTTTTGTCTGACTATCATATTCAATCCTACATACTTGATAATGACCTACATATTGGTAAGTATATTTATTAGTTATTTGTAAATAAATCAAAATAACGTTTCTTCTCAAAAAGAAAAACACAACTATACACAAAGAAACAACTTAAAATTATTCACAGATAAGAAATGGCGTACTTCATTTAGAACTTTATCCAACTGTGATTGAATAGTTTGTAATTCATTCGACTTGATTTCAAGTTGACTAAATGCATTAGAAGCACTTTTCTCTAATGAAAACATCCTGTATTAAAATATAAATGAATAATAATTTGACAAAAAAAATATCTTTGATTTTACAGACTAAAAAAAGTTATACATTGGTTATTTTGTGACGAAATACTTGGTATGTGAACGAAAGTTACACTAGTTAACGGATTGAAAAAGAAATAGCATCTAGGTTATAAAGAAAAATATTCAACAATTATTTGTCAACGAATTATCCGATTATTGAAGTAAATTCATTTTTATTGTAAATCATTTACTAAAAAACAGATTCCCGTATTCAACTTTGAGTTATATTGTAGACAAGGAGTTGCGATAAACAATAGTTAACTGTCTTATGAATTTTTTCATTAATAAAAATGACACATATCACCACGGTATAAACGTTATAAACCTAACAGACAGATATTGAGCCAACAATGTGTAACAGCAGAAAGTTACACAAAATAGAAAACATAATAATAATAATAATAATAATAATAATAATAATAATAATAATAATAATAATAATAATAATAATAATAATAATAGAATAACATTTAATTATTGATAGACTAACAGATACAAATGACAACGTCCATTTAAGTGTAACGTACATATTTCTTCAGAAAACAGTTTTTCTGTTTCTTTATTATAAGATATTGTAGAGATTTTTGGATATTATAATTTACAATAAAGATTGATGTTGGTTAGACAACACCTAAAAAGCAGAAGGCACTGAATAGTTGTTTTATTTTAATATGGGACTTTATGATAGTGCTCATCCACGACCCCTTTTAGGACTGATCTTAAGACCTTCAGATCTTCCTACGTGTACTTAATTATTATTATATTAAAGCAAGAACATATTTCACAAGCACATTCACATACAAATTAAACTTACTTTTGTCGTGCATTATCAAGTTCTTCTTTCAAGGTTGAATTATCCATTTGTATCTGGTCAAAAATGAATCATATATTAAACCAATAAGGGTACAAATAAAATAGCTCGAATGTTGTCTGAATATCTTCGTGAATAGTTAAAAATCTATAACTTAATCAAGTCAAAAGGACTGTTTTATATCATTCCTTTAGAACTGAGATAAAAGTGGTCGGCTTTGTTTTATAAGTAGTATTTACTTCTTATCTCTAGAAATAACATAAAACAGTTGTCATACATAAATTCTAGTAAAACATGGATTCCCATTGAGACATTTAGAAAATAAGGCGAATAAAGCGAAGAAATAATTCCATTCAATTAGATTCACATCACGGCTCTAAACTAATATATATATATATATATAATGTGATTAGTGAGTAGCTTCAAGATGCAATTCTTGGTGTTCCACTAGGAAGCTATGACCAGAAGAGTTTAACCGTGTTGGTTGTGAGACAGTTATTCACAAAAGGCAATGAAAGATAGCCGCGCAGCATCGTGAAGTGACTGAAATTACAAAATAATCTAAAGAGTGAACGTTTACATATGAGACCTGAGGTACTAGGTTAGATTTCACGGATGCGTACTCTTGAAGAGTCTCATATTAGGACAGAACGGCCGTCTAATGCTTCCAGGTTTTAAGCTGTGGTCTAACAAATATCAGTTCATGATTTTTAAAAATCTTAAAACTCTATAATTTTCATAAAACCTTATACTGGTTAACATACACGTTTAACAATAATAGTAAGAGTGACACCAATTGAATAGACACGTGATAAATAATAATAGTATTTCAAAGTCAATGGGTTTATTAAATTACCAAGAATAATGAAATGAATAAAAGATGAGCTGGATCAAGATATTAATACTCAAAGGTGTTAATAAATAAACGAATGAAGTGGAACATGAAATTTAAGGATTGATACACTGTATAAGATAATGAAGTAAAATCGATAAAATATTGATAAGTTGAAAATTAATATCAATTATATTTTCAAAATATTATTGCGTAACACACCACTAGATTGATACCGGTTTCACTATCACAATTAAGGATATATATGTAGAAATTAGTGAAGAACTCTGATCGAAACCAAATCTAAAAGAAAATTTTTTTCGCAGTTTCCATAGTTTTTTCTGAATTTTAGCTTAGCCAATCCACGTTTCTAGTAAACAGTGAGTTATTCATTAGTGCTAAAACACTGATGTTACAGTTCATATGAACTTAATCGATATAGGACTAGACAAATGACATGAGTCACTACAACTCAGTGATCAGTAATTCGTAAATACCTCAATCCTAGTGGAGGTTGCTGTCCGAACAACTCAATGGTCAGATCTAAGATTGTGAGGCTGGTTAGAGCGCGTTCAAATCACAAGGAGGTCAGATTCCTCATGACTGCGAGTACGTTTAAATGATGGGTAACAACCGGCGCATCTAGATCGACAGCTTCGTGCCGACTACCAAAAATTTTAGATGCATACAAACGGAACTAAGGTCAAAATACGAAAGTCTACAGGGAAAAGGTAGCAGACAAAACACGGTTATAACATTCCAAATTGTTGTTCATTGTGTATGTAAAACCACATACAAATTAAAGTTATCGGGGTTAGTCACATAACGATGCAGCAGCATCAAAATTATATAAACGTCAATAACCTTAGGTAACATAATTTGACAGTCATTACTTTGTCACAAATAAACATTACCACATATTTATATAAATTATAACAAGACCATTCCTTATTACCACAAAATTTATGACCAAGTTTTTATTTATAAATATATGTTCAGCTTCTAGTATTGATATTTCCCTAAAAAACAGTATTATTTACCGCACTGTACGTCTACAAACAACTGATTTAGTTCATAAAGAAAAAAGCAGGAAAAGAAGGTCAGCAAAACACTAAGAAGTGATTGCATATTGTCATTATACTTCCTCCGTCTATGTAAAAAAATATTCACGAAGGTAATGAATTATCAGGGCTCTATTGTACTTTGTTCAGAGCAAGGATGTGGAAAAGAACCAACTGTATAGAACTATAACACTAAATGTGACATGAAACATAATAGATACAATTTAGAAGTGAAGCATATCAATTCATACATTCATGTGAATAAATGTCACAATATGTAATATATCATTCAGTCCTTTTCCAAACCTAAATTCTATTCACGGAAACACAGATATTACAACTGATGTAAGTTATTCAACTAAAACGGCCACATTACAATATGCTTGGGCGTTGATGAACGATACGTACTTGTTGAGCCCCCAAATGCCTAGGTAGGGCCGAGAGTGGGGAGAGTCAGCTCTTCCTCTTAAAAAGTTCTCACACGGCGACATATATACAGCCAATGACAGGTAAGTCCTAATCACTGCCTCCCCGTAGCGAGGGTGTTGTTTACGAAATTGAGAGGATGAAAAGCGAATGTCCGGCGCTTCAACCGGGTTGGTGGACATAGAGGATCTAACTAGGGGATTTTGAAAACACTGATTTCAAACCAGTGGTGTACATGGTCTCCAGGATCCTGAAAGAAAAAAATGGCGTATGAACCAATTATCGGTCACCCGCTACCATGGAATTGCATCTCCTTACTTTACTCCACTGTCTTGTGGATCAGACTTTTTGGTCGAAGGTCTCGGGTATGGCCCCCTAAGGAAACCACTTGTTTCGGTCTGGACACCTGGGCAGTATCACAGCCCACTCATAAATCAAATGAGTGTATTCGGTGCCCCTCTTACCCGATATTTATGTGTCCAAATAAAATAAATAAATATAAACGTACTTGTTTTATCGGCAAAAAATGAAAGTTTGTGTAAATAAATTTCAGCTACTTAAAAGAAACAAGTAGTAAAAGATCATAAAAATGTAGCAGTCTTCAAAAAAATTACGAGACATATATATATCAATGCTCAAACATTTTTTCGTATTGGTGAAATAGAAGGGTTATTATACGTATTACTCAGGGAAACTACTACAATGTGAGATAAATATCATTTAAAATTGTGCATCAAAACAAAATGGTAAGCCCATACGAAATATTTGTGCTTTTAGCTTGAATACACAGAACAACTTACTTCACTGGAATTTTTCAAAGTCACATTGACTCTTGTCAGCTCACTCTCAAGATCATTACGCTCACTTTCTAGTGTTTGACAATATTTTTCTAAATCTTGACGAACGTTTTCCTGTCCGGATCTGATCGAAATAAAATGAAAGAAGGAATATTACATCACGTAAATTGTCATATTCTATCAAATTAGTTAACTAATGATAAATGAATCCTGAACAAGACGAATAAATCCAAGATATTTTGGTTTAATGGTTAACTCAGGTACAGATTTAAGCTAGTGATACTACCTGAGTGTACATACTAAAATCGGCGGAACGAAGTTCGAACGTCCAACTTAGTAATCGAAAGTCAAACATCTTAACTACTGAGCCATCAATTCCAATAACAGGCTGTATGAGTTATATCTCTACATATTCATAATATCGTTACTAAGAAGTTTAATATATTGCCCAATATTTATAGTATTCTTTTGTAGAAGCAGAGTTGTACCTTATCATTTATGAGTAGTTACAGTATAGTACTTTGACTGAACGGGTCGTAAACTGGAACTATCCTAAAACCATTTCAGTTTGGGTCAAGCAAGTTTTCAATCATAGTACACAAACCTTGAGCTATCGCATAAACATTTTGATTCAGAATCGCTCTAACATATTTCACTGTTACAATAACCAGTAATTAAAAAATAATAACAAACAAATGAACACGGGATGAATCAATGTATTACTGTTAGGAAGATTCACTATGAGAAGTATATAATGAATTATTTGGTATTCTATAGAAAGTACAAATTTTGGTGAACCAAAACAAATCCAGTTTTTCTGGCGAGTATCTGTAGAAATTTAACTAAATAGTCCTAGAAGAATATTAAAGCAAATAATTGTAACTACAAAAAAAATATATTATTTCAATGTATTTCCTAAGCGACGAAAATTGACAGCTATAACTAAAGAAATACATATGACGAAAAATACGAACCGTGAAAGGTTTCATTATAATTAACAAAAGTGTACTTTTGGTACAATTAAAGCCAACTTGACCTATCTGACAATATTGTATTTGAGAAACTGAAAGCCTAATGAAAAAAAACATTAACTAACACATATAAGTAGAGATTTTAGAAAAAGGATGTTGATATTGGCATTTGAAGTAATAGAAATGTTATCGAATATACGATTGCAGCAGCATTCACATTGTTTAGTGCACCTTTGGTTTTAAATGGTGTCTCTAATGATATTAACCCATGACTAGAGTGATCTATCCTTAACTGAAACTAATCTCCCATAAACCGCTAAACTAGGATATGATCCTAACGTGACAAACTGAACTTAAAAGAAAATTGCGATATTTCACTAACAGGTAGACTTCATCGAAGAAAACGACAAAAAATGAGGTTGGACACTCATTTTCACATAAAATGATCTCTTTGTAACAAAAAAAAAATAAACACAACATTAAATTTAATAGATAAACGTTAGATCTCAATTGAACTTACATTTGTTCTTTTAAATCATTAATACGGTTACATAAAATTGTTGATAAATTCTCTGCATTTCCAGTTAAAGATAAATCACCTAGAACTTTAGAAATATCTTCAACTAATTGATCACGTTTCAAATGGGCACTATTTAATTCAGTAAGTAATTCTTCTTGTTTTATTCTAGATTCATTCAATTCTATTTTTAATTTATTTAAATAATTTTCAACCTCATTAAGTTTATTGTTAGACTGAAATAAATAAAAAAAATTGAGGATTAATGTATTTATGTAAAGGCGATAAACTAAATATATGTCACAACATAATCCAATCTTTGTTTCTAAGTATAAAGACGCTTGTAAAGACTCCGGAATTTTGAAGCTTTACATCATCAACTGACTGTAGCTGGACAATTAGTGAAAACCAACATTTATTTATTTATTTTATTTTAGCACATAGATATTGGTACAAGAAGACACCAAATACATATGCGCCACACAAATCTCATTTGATATGTGTGAGGGCTGGGATACTGCTCGGGTTCCCAAACCGAAACAGGTGGTTTTTTAGGGGGCAACACGCAGAGCCTTCGCATGAAGATCTGATCCACAAGACAGTGGAGTAATGTAAGAAGATGCAGTCCCATGGTAGTCGGTGACCAAAGATTGGTTCATACGCCATTTTTTCCTTCAGGATCCTGGAGCCCATGTACACCATTGATTTGGAATCAGGGTTTTCCAACTCCCCTAGGTGGATTGTCCATGTCCACCAACCCGGGTAAAGCGCCGGACATTCGCTTTTCGTCCTCTCAATTTCGTAAACAACACCCTCGCTACGAGAATGCAGTGGGTGGGATTTCCCTGACAGAGGCTATATACGCGTGGCCGTGTGAGAGCATTTCGAGAGGGAGAGCGGACTCTCCCTCACTCTCGGCCGTACCAGGGTATTTGAGGGCAGTGAAAACCAACACTGCAAATTTACAACATTGTGAGAGATTTGAACCTGATTTTCAATGACTATCTAGCTACAGTTAATGTAGCCTCAATCAGAACTGGAATACCTGGCAGCAGAAGACTGAATTGAAGATAACATAAAGGGAGCCAGATAGTAATCGAAATAACAACAGAACTAGAGAAATAATAGAGTAGGTAAAGGACAAATATAAAGAAACGAACTCTGATACATAGTCGCAAACCACTATTACATCAGATCAAAATAACCCCTTTAATTGGGCAAACAAAAACACATTGTATAGAAGTGAGATAAAAACTACTACACTATAGCTGAATTGCGTATAATGATTGCAATAAATCTCCATCTCTTATTCTTGTGTAGATTTGTTATTAATAACAGTTTAATGATACACAAAAAATACAACACATATATTCGCACTACAGATAAATTCAATATACACATCGAGCAAGCCGAGAAACTATCAATTGATCAGTATTAAATTCAAATTATTTTGACATCTAGTTTGGCTAGGACATATTCGTTAAGAAACAGTATACACATTGAATACCAATTATTTACAACAACAAAAAATATATATTAACAAATACTAAACTATAAAATTTAATTAACATACATTCTCTTTATCTTGATTCAGTGCTATAGTTTGTAGTTGAATATTAAGCAATTGATCTTTTTGTTCATTGAATAGTTCTTCTTGTACTTTAAGTTTTTCCAATAATAACTGAATAGTCTCTTGATTAGTAACAGCATCAACATCATCATTATTGATTTTGTTAATTAATTGTAAATTATTCACTTCTTCTATTTGTACAGAATGAAATGATTCGGCAGCCGATAAAACATTATTCTGTAAATTATGAATTCACCAATAAATGGATAAACAGGAACAAATTAGAAAACAGAATAATTATTGCCCTTATATATAATAATAAAACAAATTGCACGCATAAAAACAATAGAAATTGAAGAGAATTATCTCAGTCAATGGAACCAATTATTTATATTTATTCAAACCAATATGCATACATATAGACATTTATTAAATATAAGCGGATTAAACTGCATGAGAGATTGACGTGCATTTAAGCAGTAACAAAAGGCAAATAAATACTTTTTTTTTAAATGATTGTAGTGTTTGATAACAATCAAACAATTACAAGTGATTATTGAAATACCTCAAACTGTGAAAGAGAAAAAAGCATAATCATTTTGATAACGTTAATCAATAATAAAAAGTAATATCACATTTGGTTAAACTAATAAATACCTGATAAGAATTATTTATCAAGAGTATAAGTATTCTATCGAATCATCACAATCACAAACCATTTTATAATAGTAGTTGAGTAGAAGAATAATGCATACAATTTTCTATACAGTTATCATAACCCCAAAATATTAGAGACAAGGCAAACAATTCAATCAACCGAATCGAAGAAAAAAGAAAGATGATCTATTGTACCAGATCACACATATGTACACATTTAATCATTAGAGTGCACAAGTCGAAAAATGTTCCGTACATCACCACTATTTACGTGTGCACTTTTATAATAATAACAATAAGAAGAAATTGTCAACACACATTCACCCTGTACATAATTCACTATAGTTCATTGTAATTTATGATAATACGTAGAAAAAAAAAGACAATGCATTAATAGAAATGAAAGGAAATACTAATTTCACAGTAAAACAATGCAAAATTCTTAAGATCATTACCGTAAAAAAGTGAGAAATTAACAGATGTAGCATATATAATAGATAGGTTAAGATAGGTTAGAAGAAAGACAAATAGGATGAAGTTCCGTTTCAAATCCTCTTTTCTATACATTTAATTATTGTTTATATTTGTAGAATATCATACTCTTTTCTCAATTAAATATAAAAATATATGTATTAAGATTAATATAGATAATATTTAAGAAAAGAATACCGTGAACAAAAGTAGATAAAGTATTTGAAAGCAAGTGAAACCATATTAGTATTCAGTATTAATGATCCATTGGTGTGTATGTGCAAGTAGATGAATGCTTAAAAAAAGAATTAGTTGTCTTACTTCACATATCAAGAATGAATAATGTCATCACTACAAATAGAAAAATATTAAATAACATTCAGATATTATGGATCAGGAAATATGTGTATGTGTTATCAAATCTTGAATATATATATCGCTACATTATGCAACCACAATAATAATGAAGTAAGGAAACACAGACTGGTATATTCAGCTGTGGGACAATTTATTTATTTCACAGGAAATTTCGCACAACTAGGTACCAAAAATAGAATGCCCTACATAAAATTTATGTGTTGACTAGGATATTGCCGAGTGCCGAACCAAAGTACGTGGTTTTCTTAGGGAACAACTTCCTGAGCCTCTGATCTAGGGATCTAAACCACAAGGTAGAAAAGGAAGGTCATGTGCTTTTATCCTATGATGACCGGTGTCCACGAATGGTTTTATAAGTCACTCGTTCTTTTGAGATTCTGAAACCTATGTACATCATTGGTTCGGAATCAGTTTTCTGACTTATCCAGCTTGACTCTTCGTATACACTACATAGGTTTAAACATAGGACGTTCACTATTCGTTCTCCTATCCACTCTAGGCTAGTAGGACGTTCCTAGCAGAGGCTCTGAAAACAATACAGTATGCGAGCACTTCGAGAAGACCATTTACACTCTCGACCATATCAGGACATTTGTGGATTCTACAACTGTACGGGACAAAACATAACTAAACGTTACGATACGAACGCCATTAGAAATGACTAAGTGACGTTTGAAACTATAGTTACTAACCCGTCACTTTACATTCAGGTAGAACTAAAAATGCTGAAAAGCTAAAATCAAGAAAACCACTGACGGGAAAGTAAAAAATACCAATGGTGTCAAACAAGACAAAACGATATCCATTTGTGCGTAATTTAGTTTACACTATGAATCCTCATAAATTCCATTAGACAGCGATATAAAAAAGATGGTACAAATTAATCAATACGACAAACTTCAATAAACAATAAATACTTTAAGAACAGATTAACAATATGTACATATAACATGAAATTTATCCAATACTGCAGATGGTGTATGGTAAAAAAAAACTAGTACACCACCATATTGTAGAAACAAGATTCTGCGGTAATTGAAACATCGGAAATAAACAGTTAAGTAAATCTGCCACATCATGATGATTGACAGCGGGGTGAAGATGAAAATAATTTACTTTTCATTAAAAAAAAGAGATTTTGTAAACAAAATGAATCATTATTTGGAAAATTAACAAACAGTTAGTAGACAGAAAATTCATCTTTTCAATCCATCAAAAACACTGAATAATAGAGGACAAAATTACATTTGATAAGACAAAACTCAGCCGAAAGAAACAAATCAAAGAGTGCAATCATCAATAGAAACATGACTAGCAATGAGATAGAACCTTTTTTTGGGTAAACAATTTTTTTAGGTTGCTTTTTTTTATTCAATAACTCCGAGACAACTGCGAAAATTTGCTGACATAAAATGATCACTTGAAGTTATTATTTCGAAATGCTACATTAAAAAATTCAGCTTTTTGTGGTAAAAATAATATGTATACCAAGGTTAATCATTTATGAATCACTAATACTAGTATGATTACTTCGTTGCCCAAGGAGTTCTATGAGCCAAAACACATTTAAAGTACTAAAATTCTCAGGAAAAGCGAAACATAATAGTTTAGCTCTCGCTAATTTACACTGGTAAAATATATGTCATAGAATTGATACCTAATATGTGCTTGCAATACATAACGACAATATATGAAGATCACAAATATTTAATAACAGTAATAAAGATGGTGGATGAGCAGAAAGAGGCAAACAAGGTAATAAATTTAGTGAAATTGTGAAAATCCCGTAGATTGCAATGACGTTATACATGCTCAAACACTGACGACTTCAAATTAGTGGGGAACATTGGTTGAAACTAGAAGTAGGTAAACCTGTAAAATTTCTAGTTAAGATCTGTTAAGTAGTACAGAAAATGATTAGTAAAAACAACTATTAAATAACATATATAGATAATGAAAAGCGATTAAATGGTTCTTATTGACTAGTTTAACAACAGAATAGATTATACAGTGAGGTCGTTTCGACCACATAGTGCCAGGAATCAAGATATGGAGTATATAATTTTCTGTCTCACTAACCAATGAAATAGAGTGTTGTTTCCTACTTTACCAGAGAATGATTGGTGTGGAAACGAAGGGACAATCAAGTATGAGACATTTTGCAAATGAAGTATTTTTGTATGGTTCTCAGATTTTACTAAGTGATTCTGTAATTTTGTATTCAAATACATTCGATTGTGCCCACTGTTGTTCTCGTTCACTACACTGCATGCTAAACGGAAAATGTGACGTACTACAATTCTACTTCATAGTTTCACGGTATAATAATCGTTACGACAAAAAAGCTATTCATTACTTCTCAGTATCCAATGCTTATTTAGATGATGTCAATTCTCTAAGGAAATCATTTACAAATCAGTAAACCATTCTCCAGATTTATTTTCAACAGCAAAGAATAAGATCTTATCATTATTACACAAACAATCGATCCTATTACATGACAATTATTACTGTTATGATTAATCTGTCAGAACCAACGAATTAACAACACTTTGACGAACTTACAAGGAATTTCATTCACTCACGAGTAATTACTTTTTCTTTGGATAAATACAAAATTTTAAAAACACTACTATCATCACTTAAAGCTTTTTTTAAAACATGGTATTTATATACATATCTAAACTTTTAAACATAAAAATTACAAATAATAAGGTGATGATATATCCGTGATATTCCAATAAGTAGACATTTAAATTTCTAACATTTCCTGACTTTATTCGAGTAAATAAATGACGAAAATAAGTATTTTCCATAAGTTTTGAAACAGGACATCAAACATCTTAGTGATGAGTTCCATATATACTTGTAATATCATCAAGATATGATTCACTATAGTTTCACAGTGTATTTGTTACTTTTAAAGTCAGTAATAAAAACATGACAATTAAAGTTGAAATGATAGAGAAAAGTGAATGGTCATTGATTCAATAGTAACCTTTATTTTCATTATTTAGGAACAATTTTCTATCAGATAGATGACACTTTAAAAAAGTGAATATTTTGTGAAGAAATGGTAAGTTTAGTTCTCTAAAAAATCAATTCGATTGGCCAGAGACAGTATCTTCCGAAGAATGTTCAGCTAGAATTTAGCCAGCATATTATCAGTAGTCATATCAGTCATTTTGCCAGTGAAATGCACCATTAAAACGATTATGGTACACATATAACGAAAATAAACAAATCTGCACAAATATCCAAAACATTGAAATGTACACCAGAAAATGATCCCACTACTAAAATTAGGAATAACTCACTTAGGTTACTAAAATGTTTGATAGTACAACGTGCAGTAGGAATTTTTAAGACAAATGACAGTGATTAGCAGTGGATTGTAGGACTTGTATTGCGTTTCAGTTGGGACTTGTCATTAGGATGTATATGGAGCCCAGTGATGTTCACACTGGGACTTGAATCTAGTGCTTTTCGCTTTAAACACCAAACATGTTATCTACTTAGCTACTTAGTTCACATAAGTGGATAATGAGTTGATTTTTTGGCGTAAAATAAATGGATTTGAGTTCCAGTGCAAACATCAACACTGAGATAAAGTGACATCCAGCTGATGAGTTCCAGATAAGATGAAAGGCGATTCCTAAAGTCCACGGCCAGCAACTATCAAATTTTGCTTTAAAATGCTTGTGACTTGATAGCAATATTAAGGTAATCCATTCAGGATGGACATATACTAAGAGAATAATCTATTCCAGTCCTTAGTATCAACAAACGGGAAGATGCGAACCCTTAAAATGACTTGAAGCAATAACTGTTTACGAAAGCACAAAACGATATTACAGCTATGGATACGAAAGTATTTAATGCTGAAATGTTGAGAATGAACAATATTTTAAACAAGATTTAGCCTATTCATTTTTTCACTATCCATGATGATAGCACATAACACAAAGTTTTTGACTAAATTATGGATAATTGTTATACAATCATATGAAAAAAAGCAAATGACTAAATTGAATAAAAATGTACCATACTGTTATTTTAAACACTTTCCTTTATTATATCTCGTTTTTTCTAAGTTTAAAGAGTGATTATGTGTTTAATGTGAATGGATAAATTATTAAACATCATCATAATGTCTTCGTTTCTTTAAGTCATATAGCATCGATACAACCCAGTATTGTGATATACACGTAAGAGTGGTTGCTGATACATAAAACTGTATATTAATATCCAGATAATCAAGAGATTTAGTCATCTGACTGATAATTATTGCAGGACATACCACTAAAATGAGTGATTATCCAGGTCGAACTAAGCAAATGTATTTATAAGAGTTGCTAAGAATCTTTTTAAATGTTCGTAAATCAATGTAGCAAGCATAGAAGTTGAACATTCTTTATGTCTAAAAACTATTTCAAGCCAAACCGAATACTTTGTAGTGAAACAATCTTAACATTGATGGGTTTCACTATTGTTCATTTTCCAATGTAGTATTCTTCAACGTTTATTGCTTGTTAAGCAAATGTTTATATGAAATACGTGTGTGAGTAAATGATGAGGAATTTATTATCTAAAGCTATTTTGCATTTCTCATAAATTACAAATTCTAGTAAAGTTAGTAATTAATTATTTCAATGAAGAGTTACGCCTATAGCAGAATAAAATTCCGATATCTAATAACATAGAGTAATCCAACTTAGATGAAAGTTCTCACATTCTTTGCTAAGCGTATGTGGGTTGTGAAATAGAAGAGGTAAGAAAAGAACACTATATCAACGTATATAATAACTAAAATGTCAAGAATATTTGTCGAAAACGAAAAATATTCTACGAATGGAGAATATAATATGAAGGTTATTAGTGATGTTTTCGACATCATAAGAATAATGGTAAACTTCAAAATATTCAAGACTGAAATGAAAATTGAATTATTCTCTGTTTATATCTGTTCAATAAAAGATTCGGATGAATATCAAGAAGGAATATAAGTGCACCGATATAACCTACTTTGAACAATTGTCTGAAGCAGTACTCGTTTTCCTATATGATACACACCGACAATGAGTAGGTTTGTGAACTGATGTTATATCTTCGATGGACTTAGTCCTACAATAACTTAAATAGAACGCTAGAAAAAGAGGCATTAGCTGAGTGTAAACGACATACGAAACACTAAGAAATTTTCTAAACAATTATTACAAATTTCCTTGATGTAATAAATAACAATGACAGAGGACAATGTATTCCATCAAATTAAAACTACGATTTATTAGCTCAATAAATAAGTATGCTAACCTTTTTTGGTGTTATTTAGGAGTTTCATCAATACAAACGACTAGTTTATACAATGAATTATAATGACCACTATTTCAGAAAAGGAAACTCAAGTTAGTGGCAAAATAATAATTTAATAAAAAGATTACGATCAAGTATTTCTTTTGTTTTAGAAAAAAGAAAGATGTAGATATTTCAAATATCATAAATGATTGATTAGTCTGTAAATGGTCGGTTGCACTCGTAAAATAATCACATATCTATTCTAGGCTGAGTGATGATGAGAATGACGACGTTAATGATAATTTAAATTTAAAAAAGACATTGCTTTTCAGTTTGTTTGAATCAATTACAAAAAAAGAATGTAAATGTACAAATACATTGTCAGTGTTGATTACACAGGGATTATGAGGTACACAATAGAATGGAAATAGTTTAGGTCAGTACAACTTATTAAAATATCATATTGTCAGTATTCAGTAATATTAAAATGATGAGTAAAGCACTCTCTATAATACTCTACAATAAAAATAAAAATGAATAAAATTTACCTATGAATTGTGTAGGATTTGGTCAGTGGTTATAATTTATTTGATTCGGAAGAATATTCAAATATATTACTAAGCTTATTGAACCATTTACAAGTGGCTTGAGGTAGGAATTAATTGATTAAAATTTAATATTCAAGTACTATAAATAACTTAACTATATACTTCATAATTTCTATGTGAATCATGAGAAAGATTCAAGTGAAAATTTCAAATAATTGACAAGGTTGAAATAGGACTGTATTCATTTTATAAATAAACAATGAAACTATTTCAATGCTAACAACTATAACAAACGATTTCATTAGTAGAAAAGCAAATAACCAAATAAACAACGTGTACAGTAATTTGAAAAGTATTCTACAATACATTTCATTTACCTGATAATCAGTTAACTCTTGCATAGTTTTATTTTGTTGGTCTTTTAGTTTGTTCAAATTTTCACTGGTCATCTGGGACTGATTAGAAGATGAAGTTGATTTAGTTTTCTCTGCTTCTAATAAATGATTCTATGTAAATAAGTAACAAAATATATTTAACAACTTATATATATATATATATATATATATATATATATATATATATATATATATATATATATATATATATATTAGTCGGCCAGTCAAAACGTAGGACATGGTACATATGTATATCAGTCCAAGTTGCCATACATTATTAGCAATGACAGAGTGAAAGTTTCAAGCCAAATCTCGGAATAGTAGAGGCAGTAACAGTATTAGTGGTTATATAAAAGATTAAGCATCAAAGATACGATTTTTAAGAAATTTATAAATTACTAAAATAAAAACAAAATTCATGAGGAATTTAGAATCTCAAAATTTGGCAGTTGACAAAAATGGACGCATCTGCTCCGTTGCTGTTGATTTCGAACCATTTTATCCAAATCAATTGACTTGTGTGACGCATATGTATTCCATGCCCCTTTGTACCAATATTTATGTGTTCAAATAAATAATAAATAATAAATACATAGAAAAAAACCGCCTAGACCAAAGTAACATTACATTGACATGACTAGACCTATTTCAATTTTGATTGTACTAAAAATACTCTGTTTCATATCCTTTGTATAATTTAAACTTGTATTAATCAAATTCGGTTATTTTTATTCTCTGAAGAAGGAGTTTACACGAAGTCACGAAACGTCAGAAATTTAACTTTCTACTTACTGGAAATTTATATATTATTTTTATTACAACTAAAATCTCTAAATAATGAACTGCTTCCTAAATGTCGGATGTAATTAACAGACACTAGACTTATTTACAAAGTCCAAGTTTATATACATAGGCGTGAGTTATACTTTGTGTATGGGTCAGTCACACTCCCTGACTGCTCAAACCCATGCAAATTCAACCATTCCACTCTAAAAAGTATTCAAAGACACCACAACAAATAGATAATGGTGTAAAAACAATCGCAAGATTATATGTATTTGGTTGTTTGCATCTCCCTATCGATGGTTAGGACTGAAAATGATCAATCACTTTTAGTATGTGGATCCTATGCGGACTGCCTCAATATTGGTGTTAAGCCACGAATATTTTAGACAGATGTGGATATTGCTTGGCAGCATAATCCAGGACGAGAGTTTCGTCCTATTGCAGTCCTAAATATTAATGGGAAGATCCAAAAAGCCAATACATATAAATTAAAATTCACTTCACTACACAAGTAAGTAAATATCTGGACTCAGTAACAATCAGGTAACAATAAATAACATCTAGCCCAAAGGATAGAACGACGAAAGAAAACAAACCGAACATCATTTACAAGATAAATTGCAGCAATTCTAACGCAAACACTATGTGGGACAAAGTGGCTGCTCTCTCCGTCTACCTTTACATGAACAGCAATTAACAGTTAAACACTACAAAATAGCTTCACTTATATCAACGCACGTGGACAATTACGGACATGGAATTGATCAAGGGAAGGTCGGAAAATTGGACAAATAAAACAAAAAGAAAGTTAAACTTTAGAAGCGTGGCACTCTAGTCCAGTAACGATCAATAGGGATATCAAAACTGGTCAAAGCTATCAGACAATAAGAAAAAGGAGTCACAACAAGAAGGTTAGAGATCAAGTTAGGAGAGAAAACAAACAATACAAACAACGACTACTTAGTTATGAACAACACTCAACCAAATCCCAGGTCAACAGAACAAGCCGTCAGTCAATAATGACGAGATCCTGATAGATCACTTCTATCTAAAATAAGTACCAATGATGCCAAGGATAACTGACTGACTGACGTTGGGCAAAATGTTTCAGAATTAGTCACAGTGGAATTCTATATCTTGAATTTCAATATCCCTTTCCGTCATTTCTTTTCGAATCATATTCTCAATGTGGCCTTTCACATGATCACTACTACAATATTATTCCGATTCATCTGCCACTCATTTAGGTCATTTCATGTTGTTGTGCTGAATTAGTCCAGAAATCGTGCTAACGCACATTTTTCCAAGGCCCAACACTGTTTATAACTGATTAACACTGAGTCACAAGGGTTTGAATTTCATGGACAGCATCAGCTCCCTCTTAAACATATACGCGCCTTGCTGACCAGTCTCAATTAGTATAAAACTTGGATCCCGAGCATCCTGTTGACTGCCTCTAACTACGTAACATAGACAAAACCTTAAATAAATAATACTTTTAAAACATACTTACCAATTCTTTAATCCGATTTTCAAACATGGATAATTTTTCATTAGCAATTTTTTCTTGTTCTGTCAGTTGTTTATTTAATTGATCAATTTGACTCTTTAAACTTAGGACTAATTCATTATTCTGTTGTTTCAGTAAATTATTCTCGTTTTTGAATGCTTGAATTTCACTAAAATAAGGAAACAGACCAGTTGTAAAAAGTGTGAATCAATTCTTATTATGAAACGTCATAAGTCAGATAAACGTTGAAAGTCATATATTACTGAATAACATATATAAAGGTCGAAATAACTGGTGTAGTTTATTTTATTACGTGGAATAATCAAGTTGTGTAGTGAACTGACGACGGAAAACACTAACAAATAAATGGCAGTTTAATAATAACAATATGCATAGTCAAAGATAAAAAAATAACATTCACGTTTCATGTTTAAATCGTATTCTTTGCCCAGATGACTTCAATGGAATGGTGTGAGGTAGTTGGCTGTAGCTGAGATGAAAACCTGGACATAAGTTTTGCGATATTGAGAGTTCTTCAGTAATGTGTATTTGTAATCGTGAGGGAACCGGTGTTCCCTAGTGGACTTAGTCATCTAGCTTCATAGTCTGAGACCTTATCATTGAACTATTCGTGCAGCGACTAACGTCCTGACAAATTTTTACGGTTGATCAGCCATTAAGTAGCTATTGATGTCATGTCTGTCTAGTTTTTTAGTGTCAATCGAATTCCCGACCGTTGTTGCCACCTTGATGTGATGGTCGTGCTTACCTATCGTGATGAAGCAACCGAGCTATATTGGCTGGAACAACTGTTCCTCAAAGTTCTACCATGTCAGACGGGTCGGTTGGAGAGCAGTAAGACTAAAAGCAATAAACCCAAAGTCCGAAGGAGAAGTCATACTGCTGACTGTACAGAGGTGTGACAACAGTAAGGTGTTTCCTTCAGACAACCAGCATGACAGCGATGCTGCCTTCCCACAAGGAGGGGTGGGGTTAGGAAAGATCCACCCTAAAAATACACACCTCGCCTTATCCCACGGATATCCGTCTCCGGAGGTAAGGTCTCAACGAGTACGGAGCTAACACGGAAATTACTCATAAAAAGTCGTGTGTGACCGACCTCAAGCAGTTGTCCCTTGGGCACTGCGGTCACGCTCTCGGGTCACCAAGACCACCTCTAATTCAATTTCTTTTTTAGGTACCTCCAGAACAACCCTTCCACGGTGTGGGCAACCGGGAAGTGATAACCGCCCTCATACCTCTAACAGAACTCAAGACGATCGAATTCTATCAATCGAGTTTAGGTGGCTGGGCTTAACGTGCACAAGTGTCGAGAAGAAATTCAATCGAAATACCCACAGATCTCCACAAATCACAGTCAGTCAGATTGAAATTGGGGTAAAGTAAAAATATGAGGCAATCTAAGATTCCATACAATTTCAACATTGCAATGAGAAATTGACGTAATGAAAAGAAAGAGTCGAAACCTAATAACTAATTTTAATTCCAAATATTAATAAAGAACTATTTGTTGCGTCATGTTATATAATAATATTACGATTGAGGTTAGGGATTGAAGTTAACTAAACAGTAGGAAAGTATGGTGAAAATGAGCGAGGATTACAGGTTATCACTAATTTAAAGGGAAGAGAGTAGGGAAAAACTAATCATTTAATGTTAAAGAAATAAACATTTACCTAACGGTAGCTTGGTCAAACATTCAGCCCCCCCCCCTTATTTTTCAGCTGTACAAATATTTCAAGTAAACTGCCTACTTATGATTTGTTTGAACTGAAAATTTATGAAAGCTGTATGTACTTACGAGTTATTATGAAATAACTACAAATTATTGTTAGTGTAAGTACTGGAAAACTCAGACAGAAACACCAGCTATTGGCACATCTCCTTTATGATTTATTCATTGACAAAACGAGAGACAAGAATCTAAGAATTCAAGTGTCTTATATATGATAAATGGAGAAATCTATAAATTGGCTGACACTTGTAATAGAACATTGACTGTTGAAAGCACTTTTAAAATATGCTTTAAATAGTGGCGATTTGAATAAATATTAAGATTATTTATTGCAATATTGTGTGATTGGTGATGAGAATTCTTCGTTGTTCCAAAATTCATAGTATCAAATCGAACGATTACTACTGCTGTTAAAATCTTTTTAAAATAACTTGGTAAATCACAGGGATAAGACAAACATACTTTGAAGAGTTCTGCAACTGACAATTTAGTTTTTCAACTTGTCCATTAAACTCAACCGTTAATGACTCAATTGTTTCAGCTTGATGCTTTAGCATAATTTCTGCTTCAGCCTGACGCTCAGCCAACAAATTACGCAACCGTTCACATTCATTTTGGAAAGACTCGCCTTCGTTTTCAGTTGGAGTAATAGATGTCTCAGATACAAGCCCAGTGAATTGGAGAGATGGTTTTCCCTACATGTATGAATTGAAAATATATAATATGAAGACTGGAAAACATAATTGCAGTGACAAAAACTGACAAAAACAGTATTATCACAACTACAATTTATGTCAACTGGTTGACTGATAGAATGAAGAACATCATGAAATAATATGGAAACTCAAAATGTCGAACACTTGAGTAACGTAAGAATAAACAACACGATCACCCAAGGAATAAAATGCTTGAGATGAACCAGTAGGAAAGAAATAACCGATTGTGAAGCAATGGGACTTATGATATGGGGTCACTTATCTTTAATAACCAAGTAAAGTACATCGTATAATCGACATCTTTTTACATGACCATATCAAAACCTACAACTTTATCGATTTATGTCATTTTCTCTTCTGTCAATGGAACTTTACAACACTCATAAAGAAATTTTACCTCAAATAAAACAAGGTTCAACAACGCACAAGCAATTTGGAGAACATGAAGAAAGGAAACATATCTTTACATCTCCTACTCTTAAATGCTGTTACGTCATAAAGTAAAAAGAAAGTAGGCTAATGAAATTTGAAGAGTACATGATAAATAACATACATCGTTTGCATAAAAGTAATCTATATTTAACCGTCTCTTAAATTAATTGCAGTTCTGTACCATAAGTGAAGTAGTGAATATACACATATTTAACTGTTTATGAACCTAGAGATTATCTTATACACTTCGATTAATTTGTGTATTGATACGCATGAACGCAAAAATACTAATCGTCATTATCATGTTGTGTATACTAAAATCATAAACAATGAATATTCTGTCACAAAAATCAGTGTGTTCAATTCAAAAATAAATCTCATCCTATTACTATTCTGGCAGTATCTCATCAATATGCGCGACACAAAAAGATAGAGACAAATGTAAGTAAACGAGAGAGGAGGAGAAAGGTGACAGAAATTTTTGCTCATTTACTTTAAGGTAAGAAGTTCAGCTAGATTCGTGATTATGTAATGGTACGTGGATTAATACACCACAAAAAAACAATACTCAGTAGTTGAGAACAAAGTGAACAGTCTCGAGTGAAATGCATACTCTGAACTGAAATAGGTGAAAAGATATTTTGAGAGAGTAAAAGTGAATGAAATCGTTGAATTCATAATTATTTTGACAAGAACAACTTTCATTTTCTAACACGTGACGGTTATATCTTAATGAACGCCATGTTTGACATTTCCTTAAAATATTTGATGCTTTCAGACTCATCGGACAAGTGGCTCTTTATACTAACATGACATAACCTACTGATAAACAAAGCAAATTTTGTATTTTTATCAGAGAAAATAAGATGATACCACCAATAATATCAAGCCATAGACTATATGTAAGAACAGAACATAATGATCTGTATAACTGTTGACAGATCCTGCTTCGGTTTGGGCGCCCGGGCAGTATTCCAGCCCTTACATAAATTGAATGACAAAGTGTGGCGCATATATATTTGGTACCTCCTTGTACCAATGTTTATGTTTAAATAAATTAATAAAATGTTGACAGATAATATTTCATTAGCACTCAACTACAAACTATAAGCAATGTTGATATTATTGTAAAGCGAAATATTTAAATGCAAATTTTCATATCGATAACTATTGGGGATAAAACTGTACGACAAAAAAACAATTTCCAATGTTTAGTTCACTTGCCTGAATTTGAGATTTGTTTTCATCACTTTGATTTGACACATTCGTTTGTTTTTGTAAAAGATCATTTAATTCTACTCGTAATTTATTTAATTCTAATTCCATACGTTCATTCGTTTCACGAGCTGACATTAAAGCTTCTTCCAGTTCAAATATTTTCGATTCATCGTCTGCATTCTGTGATTCAGTTGTGCTCTTGTCAATGTTTTCTTCTTCTATTCGAAATTGTAAATCTTCAAGATTTCTATTAAAATTTTAATGAATATATTAAAAATAAAACAATAAATAGTTATACTTAGTTATGAAGAGTTTTATTAAACAGCCAAGTATGACAAGATATAAACCTTTTTTGGTGTTAAAAACTCCAGATCAAAGTTTCGTGTTAAATGTCTTACACCACTAAAACATACCTGTAATCTTAAACGAACTGATGTTCTTAATATGCCTTGATATCAACTGGAGCAAATGAATAAACATGAAAACTTACCAGTACAGACAGGTAGAAGGCCGAGAGAGTCCAGAGAGAATACATGCTGAAGTAAATATACACGGTAAGTGAGAAATAAACGTGAGTGAGTTGTTTTTTTTAATTCTCGTTGACCGCTCACATTTGTATCTGGATCCATTCACTGTTTTGCATATATACTTATGATTTATGAGTGGAGTGGCGGCTTAATGGTTAAGACGTTTAAACTTCCACTGCTAAGTTCCAGGCTTGAGCCTCATTCCATTCACTTCGGTTTAAAGCAACTGGGCAACCCTCACTAGCTCATATCAAAGTACCTGGTGAATGAATCAATTACATTTATATTGTCACAACTTATGTGCATATTTATTCACCCTGTAGTATAAGGATTCTATGTATTTTTAGTCTTGTTTTGACTAGCTAGTTGAGCAGACAGCAGGAAGCGCGTATTGTAGTCGAATATGACCACAAAACACTTTTTCCACTCAAACACAAAATATTTGCATATGATAATTCAAACGTTCCAATAAATAGAAAGTATAGTAATTTAGAAGTGTGATGAAAAAGAAACATATATAGGACAACAATGAAGAGTAAAAAATCAGATCATAAGTGAATAAATAATTGAGTTATGTTGCATGAATTAGTTATACATAATAGACTTTAAGGTCAAATTGTACAATGAATATCACACTTGTTTACTGAATAAGGTTGGGCTGTATTCTGAACTTCTCAAGGACAAAGTTAATTAGGCATAGTAGAGAAAAAGGTAAATTATATATATATATATATATATATATATATATATATATATATATATATATATATATATATATATATATATATATATCTGCTTCGGCCGATTAATTCATCTGAAGGGTGTTTACACCATGAACTGAATTCAGCAGGACAATCATTGAAAACTAAGAAGCTATACCATTTTTATCTAATGTTAATCAGTAGAGCGCACCCGTGAAGCTACCTAAAAAGGGGAGCCAGGACCTTTAAGCTTATTTTCCAGAGCGTTACTGTAATACCTCCAAGTTGGTATCCAATGGATCACGTGAATGCATCATGTATAAACCAAATCTAGTGTCGACTACTGACCTACTAATTATGTCAAGCAAATATCAAAAGAAGAAAACGATATCATATGAATCTATCTCTCTTGTAAAGTTATAATTTTGTTTCAATGGAATGAATTTTACTTTTAACAATCGTAATTTTCTGTTCACTTCACTACATGAACGCTTATTTCAAGCTTCGATATATTTTGTCATTTTCTTAATCAAAACACCAAAACTTTGTTTTAATTATGATAACTAATTCTAGCAATTTACTAAATATTTTTACTTTGATTTTCAGCATGCATAAACTTCCTCAAACTATCTCTACGTTTAATTAAAAGAACTTTTGATACATTAAATTTGTATGATGTTTTTTAAATATTATTTGTTGCAAGTAGCTGATGGCAACCGATTGGACTGAAAAGAATTCATTTCAGTTCACGTCTTTATTTTTGTAGACTGTCAACTGCATATAGTCATAAATCCTCAGTAATAAATATGAAATATACGTTTTAAATTCAAAAATATACATAGTCCTCGTTCAATACTACATCAATATCCGTAGTGAAAAGTTAAATTGAGCGAAGAAATTTATAAATCAAGTTATTAGTGCTCAAACTCTCAATAATCCCTTGATAAAAAACTTTAAAAGTCGTAAGATTGGAGAGAATACTTTGACCAATCAGTGTTTATTAAGAAATTCCAAGAGAATTCAAGAGAACAGAATATTGTGTCATATCTTCAGTTTGTCACTGATTTTAGCACATTTCCGAGAAGCTTCCAGAAGCTTAGGGTTGTGAACTATATATAACAACCTTGGAAGTTAAACTGATTTCATAGTTTTCGTTTATTGTTTTCCTGTTTGAAATTCAGAAGTAAAAGGTTTCTGGATAGCGGTTAAGAAGTCTATGTCTAAGTGTCTAAGTACTAGGCATAAAAATTTGTACACAAAATTTATACTCAAAGATGACAATCACATAACTGTCTACTTGAACGTTATGTATAAAATACTTATGGGAATTCATGTTTGCTAACGATGACCTGATGTTTGTGAAGCTGAATACAAGAAAACACAGATTCAAGAACACCATTTACAGTCAACAGTACTACGTCATATATCGAGTTAAAGTAACAGAAAAACGAATCTGAGAGATAAATAACTTAAACAAAGAAGTTTAACTAACTACATGGTGAAAGTATGCACATATGGAATTAGAAGAACCTTACATGGAAAAAAGCATATGCAACCATTTATGAGTTCAACAAGGCTGCTCTGTTAATAGTAAGAATAGATGAAGATAATCGAACAGGTGATCAGATATGTAAATATTCTTATTCTAGTTCAACTTAGAAAACTATATGTTGAGTAAAAATGGAGTGTTAGACGCAATTCGGTTAAAAAGAACATATATCATCAATTTAACAAGTCATTAATTGTTAATTTAAATTATCCAAAGGACGAATAACGTTTCTACCTAGATTTCACAAGACGCCATTAATCAGTAGATAGATGACGGAAAATATTTAAAGTCTGTTCCCCAATATAAATGTTGAAAATTGAACTCAATCTTCATATTTACTTGGTTTTATGCTTTCTTTCATCGTCTTTCAACTTCATCACACTATTTTTGATATCACTATTTCTATTTCATTCTCTTTATTTAAGGTAGCTATGACGACGTTAATTGTAACTATTTGGATTAATACACATCATTGTATTTTTTTGTTTTATTTTGAAATATGAATTTTCCATTATAACTGGATAATATCTATACCAATGTTTTGAATAAACTTGATTTTATAGAATAAATAAATAGAAATTATTAAAATATCATTAACGAAAGAACACATCCGAGAGATTTCTCACTTTCGTTCTTCATGTAGCTTAATTGTTGTTTGCTCATGTTCATCGCGTAAATGTTGAAGAACAGCTTCCATATTTTCTAATTGTTGGTTCAATTGTTGTATCACAGCTTGCTGATTCAATGTTTCAGCTTGAGCCTTTACAAATATGATTTGTTTATTATTAAAATACGAGAAAAAAACACCGGTCAATTTAGTTAAATTAATTAAAATGATAATACGTGATAAGTTCAGCGATTTATCATAGCAGTGGTGGTAGTTCTAAAAAGATTAGGACAATGTATGAATGTCTAAATCATTTTTAAGTCGATACCAAATATAATGCGCAAAATTGTATAAGCAATAATGCTTGTTAAGACAAAACTTGTAGAAACAGGTACAAGTTGAGAAAAGATATTTTAAAGTATTAATTAATCACCCGAGCAATTTGGTGAATTAACCACGATTACTTATTTCCTTAGATATACAAAATAAGTGATAACATTCACGCCCATTGATCACACTCTTAAAGGCTGTAATCAGTGTTACTGAGTAACTTGAAGATCACTAATTATATTATTACCGCATACTATTTGCGTAGGTGCATATATGTGATAAATCTTCTAAATGAACGCTTGAATCGGTTTGCTAGGCTTTTCTAATAACCCCAGGTTAAAAAGTACTAGTTCAACTAATGTTAATTTATTTCGGTCACTTATTTACTCTGAAGAAGTGGCTGACATTAAGTCACGAAACGTCAGGAATGCACTTCATCTACTCATTAGGATATAACAGAAATATTCACTAATAAATATATCCTATGTTTCCATTTAAAGAATATGTAGCTTACATACTTTACACCACAGCAGTAGTAATTGTACAAGACTAGTAGGACCATGTGTCTGTTCATGAATTTAGGACATAGTGCCACTGAATAGAAAACAATTCTGTGTTAATATATATATATATATATATATATATATATATATATATATATATATATATATAAGCTGCCTGAATGGGATCTTAAAGATTCTGCAAGTTGGTAGGTTGAAACGTTATCAAACAAGGTTCCTAATAAAAGCCATTGATGATCCAACTGCAGTTTTCTGTTATAACCGGACGAAATTTACGACGATTTCTTTTTTACTTTAAAGTTGATTTTTTTAACACTATTTTTCTTGTTTCTTTCTACAATACCGCCATCTTTTATTCACCGATATCATTTTCACTTTATTCTACTTGATGTACATCCTTTTTTATTGTACTAAGCTTATTATATGCTATAAATTACAAAAATATTATTAATACTTCTACTGATTGTCAGTAAAGATTGAATTATCTATGAAATAATTGTCTTGGGTTCAATTCCTGGAAAAGTTGTGGTTGTTCACTAGTGGGAAGTCCCATATTAAGATGAGACAATTATCAAGTGTTCTATCCTTATCAATAGCGTTTTAGCTGAGATCAGTCTATGACGATACTACCTATAAATTAAATTAATCAATACAAAACCCCTTTACTTAATTAAGAAGTTTCATTTTTTCTTTAGATTCATTATACAGTCTCGATTCGAAAACATAAATAAATATACTGCATGGAGTAAATAAAGTTTTGCGTATATGTGAGAAGTGTACTGAACGATATCAACTCTTCAGCTGGTTTTTTATGTATAAGTGAAATGAATACAACAGAATAATAACTTATTCAATGTTTGTTTCTATTGTCTTTAATAAAAAAATAAGTTACTTTTCTAATATTTGAGGACGACCACTAATTTCTCAAAGTAATAATTGAATTGTTGCTTGGTTAACTAGTAAGACCTTATGTATAAAAACTACGGCGAGACCATAATTTATAGACTAATAAACGTAATTAAGGATATCAGATCTTGGATTTTGGCGCAAAATTCATTCATCCATACAGTTAAATAGCATTATAGTTGATGTCTGTTCGTGATGAAAACCCTTGCTTTAATTCCTAACACTAAATTTTAACTCTAAATCTTAATCCTAAATCCTCATACTAATTTATAACCCTCTTTTGATCCTACTAAGTAGGTGAATTGTCTCATGGCTACTTTATCGTCGCTCACAGGTCGACCATAAATTACAGTCTCAACAAAATTACTATTAAATATCTAGTTTGAGTACATTACGTTAGCTGTTGAGAAAAAGTTTGACTAAAAAAATTAATTGATTGGTAAACTCTTTCTCTATGTGTACACATGTATGAAGAAGTTGCACTAACGATCCATAGAGTCATTTATAATAAAATAATGGTTTAATTACTAGATACACTACATTTAACAACCAGTCGCCAACATTCTTTAATTTCTAATTCTTTTATTTTAGTGTGAATTAACTATCCAAATATTCCCGTGATAATCTATATCTTCTGAATAGTTGGAAAAAATTTATGGACTGGTGTCACGTTTTGATTTGGCCGCCTCTAACTTCCTTCCATTCATCCCCAAGGATAGTCAGCATTGCTCGTCGTGGTAATCGGTGTTCAGGCATATGTAACACAGCCAAAACTGTATTACCAATAATTATATGCTCAAAAGTGACTAGTTTAAAGGTGGATTACCCAAAGTTATTCAGAAAAAAGCTATGATCTCTTTAGTCAACGAAGACACTGAATCAAGAGAGCACTATATCATTTATCTGCCAAATTTTAAAAAATAGTACTGTTTGATTCGCATTTATTGACCAACTGATATCGTGCTCTCTATGAGAGCTAAAACTCCTAGGTCCGGATTTTTGTACGATGATGGATGACCACTGATATACAGGCTTAAACTCAGATTAACTTTCAACTATTTGTTGACTGATATATACTTCAATGGTTAAGATCATGAGTCAGTTGAAGCTAGACCACCATGGAAAACCTGGAAGCACTGGACGGCCGTCTCGTCCTATTGTGGGACTCTTCAGCAGTGCGCATCCACGACCTCGCCCCCTGCGAAATCCGAACCCAGGACCTACTGGTTTCGCGCGTGAGCACTTAATCATTAGGCCACTGAGCCGGCATCCAACGGTGTTAATGTCTAACTTCAACTAATCCACGAAATTGAGCTACACACCCACCATTGTCTTCAGTAAGTTACTATCTCACAACAGACCTGGTTGAACTCCACCGGTCACTACTTCTCACTAGAACTCCAGGATATACCTCGTGAAGCCAGTCACTAGTGAGCATATTTTGATTAATATCAGGTTTTCCATGGTGGTCTAGCTTCAACTGACTCATGATCTTAACCATTGAAATTACTATAATATCCACAAAACCCATCTGATATATATTTGTAAGGAAAATTACTTACGAAAGTGCAGGCTATTCATACTGTTTAAAATGAGACGGCCTAATATTAACTTGTTTGTTGTAATTGACATATAAAAACAATATTTTCAAAGAATAACCAAAATGTTAAAGTATTGTACTGAACATATAATACTGAATAAAGCCGTTATTATTACTATTATTGTTAAATTTGCTGAAATCTACAATAAAGTGTATTTATAAAAGCATTGACAGAAATGGAACTTAATTGATCATGGAACGACTGACACATATAACTAAAATATAGGTGTTTACATGTTACTGTTTGCCAGTTATTTCAAATAATTATGTAAGATTAAGGGTGAAACGATGTGTTGGTCAAGTCCCCCTTACTCATTTCTCAATCGAACACATATTGATTTCTTGACTAAATAAAATACTGCAGAAGATATTTTAACACCCTCTCTACAAAATCAGTAGTTTTTAATGAATTTTAATAAGTGACTATTTTAATCAATTATGGATATCTGTTTGTCATGAATTATTGTGAACAAATGAATATATGACAAACTAAGATGGGATTTCGTCACATAGTTTCACAATGAACAGCAAATCTTGTAAACCGAAAGATCTGAATCAAGGTGTCGACCAGTCTCTCCTGGACTAATTGATCAAAAATGAAATGATTTAGAAAATTCCACTATCCTAGTTGAATCTAATCTGGCCTGAAAAAGAGATGTATATCATCGAGTGTGTGCAGTTTAAACTGGCTATTCATATTATCACGTTATCAACTACTAATCATGGATATAAATAGCATGCAGAGTGAAAACAATAACAAACAGCTATTAGGCGTCCTTATTGTTGGCAGTGGCTTATCGATATGAACTAGATACAGAGAGGAGGAGAGAGGAAAAAAACAGTAGAATCAAACAAATTGTACTTGCCATTTCTCTTTCTAAAGTAACTTTAGCTAAGTCAGAACGTTCCATTTCACGTTCTTGTAAAAGTTTCTCGATATGTGCTTCTTTTTCCTTGACTAAACGCTATGGAAAACAAATAATACACCGCATTAATAGCGAAGTGATGACATCACATAATATCAGTGTAAAAAAAACATAGAAAAAGTTAATGGTCTCCATAAACTGACAGAAGCTATATGAAAGCGATTAATAATAGTAGTGTTAACTGTAACTCATTAAAAAAGTATATAATTATGTCTAACAGCTGATGCCCGAGCACCGCATAAGTCGATCCATGATGCTAGCTGGTCTAGGAAGAAGTTTGGAAAAGTTATAGGTGGCAAAACCAATACGTAGCCTTAGTTTACGAAGTCCCTAAGTATTGATCCGAGCAGCGTCGATAGATGCATACAACATCGTTGGGGTTTACATGATAATCACGATCAAGATTATAGCAACCGATGGTTAGAGACCTTGAATGACATGGCTCAAAATCGTTTGCAATGGCACGGGTACATCCACTCTTTGTGTTCTCCCAAATTCTAATCTTCTGAATTCTTTATGTCTTTTTTTTCTCTCTCCAAATTTATTTCATTGGATTATACTCCTTGAATAACATCTTCAAACCCTAATGTTTCCGACTACTGCTTATACTTTTACTACCCCTACCACTACGGGATTTGAATCGACCACTGCATCTCTGTGCTGTTGTATGGCAACCCGAACTGATGTACGTACGTACGAAGTTCTACGTTGTTATTGACTGACTGTCTGGCTGACGGATAATCACGATCAATGGTAGAAAAATTTCAACGACATGCCTCAGGATCAATCACAGTGGAACAGTATATTCGCATTTTCGTTCTGTGGTTTCGGACCGTATTCTCAGTATTTAGTCTTACGCAGCATCACTGCCACTACATTGTCCAAATTTCTTTGCTGTTTTTCTAATGTACCTCATAGTGCTAATGCAATATGGTAACGTGGGCCAACATGTATGTGTCAGGCTCTACGTTGATCACAAATGACGTACTCAACTTTGAACTAAAACTGTCTGTTTAAGGCCTGGTGATTTTATGTGGTAGCTCAAACTATGATAATTAGAGAAATATCCTAACTTAAAACCTACTAGTTAATTTAATTGTTTGTATCACTTAAGGATCATACCAGACAGAGTTTGAACAGCTGTTCTGTCATTGTATTTCACTCAAGAGTATTTCATGTTACAATCCAATTTTAACAAATTCTAAAACTTACACGAGAGCCATTGATTACGTAAATACATACAAATTGTACATATTCCTTGTCTATTTAAGTGTCTATTGAACGTATTTTATCAGCGAAGACGGTGTCAAAATTCAAGGAAAATTTTATGTTAAAGTCAAGATATTTAGTGACAAAATAAAAAAGAAATGAAAGTCTATCACTAATTGATTAAGATTTCATCGATACGTTTTGATTTCTTACAAAATCATTTATACACAAGCCAGCTTCAGTAAGAAGATTTCTCTTTTTACATGTACATGTCAAATCATTTACTCGGTGAAGCATCAATGGTCATCCTTTCTTTCACAAGTTTAAATACAATAATCATAGTTAAAGTGTATAATAATTTCTATCAGCTAAATCAATCATACCATACATTGGAGTTTATTTTTTTCCGAAAGAGCATGAAATAAGGACTGAATTGTTTACAATGAATTATCATAAAATTGAAGGTATCACGTGTTTAACATGTGAAAAAAGCAACATATCCAATCATTTATCGATTATTATTATTATACTACTTAAAACAACTTTACTTCTGTTTTGCATAATGAAAACAATTACCCGTCACCATTTGATTTAGATTTTTTTCCTTTAAATTCATAGTTATGGATGAAATTATGTGAAAACCAGCATAGTGACGAGAAAATAAACTCTCATAAAAAATACTTGAAAAAGCACACACATATAATAATAATAATAGCAATAATAATAATAATAGGGTTTTTGTATTCCAAATAATAGGTGCTATACTGGCAAGCACAAAACTTTTCACGAGAAAGTAAGAAAAAATCGACAATTGTGACAGACTGATATTAAGTTACAGATTATTTCACATTCTCTTCAACAAAACGGTATTGATTGATCAATAAATAATAAGGGATTTTTATAGTTTTTATTGTGTTGATAATGCGATTTATCAATTACAGATTTGTGTAATTGGCTTTGACTTACACTTTATGAGAGGGACAGCAATAATACCTAGCTGTCTAAACTGAAGTATATGGAGGAGGACTTAAACCTGAGATCTTATGTTTGAAAGCCGGACGCCTAAGCTGCTAATCCACTATTGAAGATGACATAATAATAGATTGATCAAAGGTTAAAAACTAAGGAGAATTTTAAGAACCACTCATATATTTGGTTATTTCCCAAGATAGGTATGTAAATATTCTGACAGAGAGGAGGCTGAAAAGCAGATAGGGACAAAACCTCCCTGAAATGAAATATTAATTTTACAACTTTGTATATATATATATATATATATATATATATATATATTGACTAAGTGAACTACCACTTACTATCCCCTTTCCTTAAGCTACCCATATTAGAACCAATGATACATACATAACCTTAACAAGTGACATACTGCTTCTCAGTTATATATATATATATATATATATATATATATATATATACCTAATTTAACAAGTGCTTCCGTTGAGCAATAAGAACAGCGGTTACCAAGTTTCAATAACTTTCTAATAAATAAGATCAGACTTGTGAAATTACTTCTATCAAAATAGATTATAAAAACCATAGGAAGATAGTTTATAGCATGAACACGTATCGGCGTACTTATAAATGATGAATCACATTTACTATGTCTGGACTAAATACATTACTTTGATGAAGAAATTAAAAAGGAAATAATGGTGGTTGGAAAACTGTAGGTCGTGATATTATTAAATAATTGCTCTGTATAGTAGACAGTGAATACTACTATTTATATACCAAACAAAACGCTTTCCACGAAGTCTGAAGAAAAAAGAACACTTATAGTTGAACAACTAACCTGTAGTGTTTGTAAATTAGATGTAGATTCTCGACGATTTGGAGTGTTCATTGATGATATCGGTCTTCGATTACCAGCTACACCATTACGACTCTTGACATTGTAATCAAACAAAATATATTATTATTATCAAAAGGGGTTATGTGGATATTATGGTAATTTTAATAGTTGAGATCGTGAGTCAACTGAAGCTAGACCACCATGGTTCGAATCCCGCGAAGGAGTCCCACAATGGGACGAAACGGCCGTCCAGTGCTTCCAGGTTTTCCATGGTGGTTCAGCGTAAGTGATTATATCAATAATAGGAAATAAAATTGTTCGTTTCAATTGTTTAAATAAACAGTGGGATGAAAGAATTTGACAATGTTACAGAGAGAAGTAAGCATATAAAAGACATTATTTCTATCTCAAATCAGTTTTTAATAGTGATATACTGTTTTATTTGAATACAATAAGCCTAATGATAAAACTTTCTTTGTCATTCTGAATATTATATTAAGACAAAATATTTATTGGTATTGTGTTAGCACAACAAAATAAATATTATAAAAGTTATTTTATTTCAAATCAATTCGAGTATCTAAACAATTTGCCTGGACGTAATTCATTCAGATATCAAAGATTTTCATGGATGAATAGTTATGAATACATGAAAACAATTAAATTTATTATCAGTATAGGGCTGTGGAGATTGATGAGTTTCACCGAAATCATGAACCGATCAGTGTTAGACCATCATTAAAAGCCTGGAAGCACTGGATGGCCGTTTCGTTTTGGTATGGGACTTTTCAGCAGTGTGCATCATGGTTTTAGTGATGGAATTTATGTTATCTAAATGATTTATCACCATCCGTTGGTTCCTTAATTCATATTCCTTTATACTATTATTGACGACAAAGTTTGGTAAGACAGTGAATTAGCCTACGTTAAGATCATTTAGATTACAAATCAATAAGTCAACCAACCGGTTAAAAAAAACTAAAATATTAACATTAAGGTAGAGATTTTTATACGAAAACTCTGTTTCATTGTAGAATAATGAAACAGAACACACTTTCGTCTAGTCTGACCACCATATTTTTTTGTATTTATCTAGTATAAACTTCGTATATGTTGTTACGGTAACTTTGAGTATTTTTCCTGCTTATTAACTAATCGTCAAGTGTGTGCAAAATCAGTAAATAAATGAGTTTAATTCGGTTTCTTTGACATGCTTTTAGAGAGTCAGTAAATCTACATCCTCATTAGTCTTCTGAGTTCTTACTTTTTAATTTAAAATCTGGTAAAACCATTTTTTTATTGCACAGAAACATTCCCCTCACGGGAAGTTTGCGCTTCTCTAGATAATTCAGACTAAGTGCTGGTGACTTCATAAACTAGCGACTTGTCATATTTTAATTTGATGATTTTTAGTTGAAAGCACATAAAATAGAGAGAGACCAACCTGTAAACCATTATTAACTTGATTTAGACGATAAGAGCGAGATACTGAACTCAAATTGGATGAATAAGATAGTAACGATTCTTGACTCCGGCTGTAAAAAACAAAATATGAAAGAAATGATATTTTGCAACCAATTAAATAAGAACTAAATTTCAACAAGAATAAACTATTTTAATTAAACTTCTGAAAACATTTGAGACTAATACAAAAATTCATCGAATTTTATGAAAATTGGTTTCGAGAATGACGAGTCATTCCCGTTATTCTCAAGAAGCACATCACAAATTTAAAACAAATCGCCATCACTTGTACAGATTTTCGCTCACTAAAATATAATTGTTAAGTCTCAGGAAACATAAGACTTTTAGCGTGGTAGCCTTAAGGTTTCTCAATTCAGAAATGATGTACACTGCAAACTGATTTAATTTACACAACTACTAAAAACTAAGAAGCGCTGTATGATTGATTTCTTTCAGAATTTAACTCCTCGATAATATGTATCCATAACTCCACGATGGATCGTAATAAAGACTTCCTAGTAAAACTCGAACCCATTGAAGTTCAACTACATTGGTTGTGAGACACATATTGACAAAGACAATGACTAATGATCGTGCAAAATATTGAGTTAACTAGCGTTTAAAATACGGAGTATTAGGTTGAAATGCAAAGCTGTTACGCCAAGGCCTGGAAGTGCTGAGTTCGAACCCTAAGAGGCCATGAATGTGCAGTGATGAACTCCATATAGAAATAAGATACACATCTAATGCTACATTACATTTAACAGTTGAATGCCTATAGCTATTCTATGATGTAAACTATTCTAAAAATGTAGGATTTCGTCGATGACATCAAGGTTTACAGGACTAACATATTACCATTGAAACATCAAAATTGATGTGAGCTTTTTGTGACAACACACATGAATTTTTCGTGATTAAGTACACTGTGTTTAGCTTCAAAAGTTTAAATAAAAATAACAAAGTCGCAATTAATTACAATAAAAGATTTACACTGCTAAAAGTAACAAGCAATGAAAATCTAGATTCTAAAAAATAAAACTGTCCATTAGAAATGAAGTGTTGCAAATAAATATGTCTGTCAAGTATAGCAATATTTTAGAAGAGATACACTCCACTATGAAATGATTGGTATTGTTTCATAAGGACATATTAATCACTGCATTCAACTAGAAAAATACATATTCTTATACTTAAAAACATGCCAAACGTCATTTATTTTACGAAGCAAATCGCTTCAACAGTTGTGCTAGCGAAACATTCTTCTCATTAAACGATGAAAAGTGACACGAGAACCCATCATATATAATGATATTCTCTCTTTTTTAAGGGAGATGTGATAAACAGTGTTTAACGCATTCTACGTAAAATTGATTAAAAACAACGGAAACTACTGTTTTAAAGATAATTAGGCTGATACTATGTCAAGTCCACATAGGTTATTCTAGCCTCTGGACAGACCAATTTATTCATTCTTCTCAAGCCACATTTTTACTTTGTCACTAATTCGCTTATCAACCTTGACTTTTTATGTAAGCGTATGTGTGCGCATTTACTATCTTACTCATCACATGTCTGTAACTTATTTTTGTTCAACTAGAAATATCAATTCACGCTTGGCTAAACTGAGTTGGCTCACTCACCTTCTCCATTATACGTCATTTTGTTTTGCTTCTCTATCTGATCAACGACTGTACAAAATATACATATTTAAAACTTCATTCTCGTATTTGACTTATTTAATTCTGTTATTCATTAACACGATTTAAGTCGATGATTATATAAGAGAACAGTCAAGATGTATATTTCAATAGCAAACAGCAAACGATCTACCTAGAGTCAGATATCCGGGCCACTAAAAGCTCTATATCCGAAGTTATATTAAACATGCCTGTACTACAACGAATCGATTCTAAAAGAGAATTCATCTTATGGAGATGGGAATAAATAATTGGCCGTAGATAGCTTTTTATCAACTAAGCGACACAAAACACTAAATGAAGAGTAAATGAAAAACTTTTTTAATCAAGGGAAGTTGTGCCAAACCAGATCATCAGAGGTATATTTCTGAAAGACCCTTAAAAGGCACATGCACAATAACTATAGCACTGATGTATATATGCCTCAACTTGGAGGGCTTAATAACTATTTTAAAATCTCTAAATAAACAAATCACCAGAAAGTGAGATGAAGACAGAACTTTATTATCTTCGAATGCAAAATTACGATTAATAAATAGAGACAGTTAACCATATATGTGGACAAGGGGAGATATGAACACCACGATTTCAGTGAACGTCGTGAAACACTTATTGCGGAAATTTAAAGTGTAAGTATTACGTTTGATAGCAAAATTCATTACCACATTCTATGTTCAATGATACTTTTTTAGCTAAACCTGGAGAGGAGGAGAGAGGAAATTGAGATGAAAAGCGTAGTAGAGGTACACATGACCGATATAATTCGCAAGAAATAAAAAAATTGAAGGATGAAAAGTACGTTGCTTAACTTAGTGTTTGATGGGAGATGCAGGACTAGTGCGACTGCTCTACTGAGATTGATTTCGGGCCATGACATACGTCTCAAACAATAGATTATTATCTCAAGGGTGCCAACACAGCTCATGCCGACAATCACTGACTTGGTGAATTGATGCCACATCTTCCAACTTACTCTTATGTGGGCACTAAGGTGTAGGGATGGACGATCGCTAGTAATGCACTTTGCATGTTTCAATAACTTTGATCGTTTATGGTTTATAACCTTATCAACCGAGTAGCGATTTCTGTCTAGTACTTTACGCCTAACGCCATATGCCCTGACATGGCCAAGGGTGGAAAGAGTCCACTCTTCATCTCGGAATCTTCTGTCCGGTTTGGCTGGTGTTAGTGTCGCACTAGGTCCCAGAGCAGAAGCATTACTAATCCATTGGATTCTCTTAACCAGTCGATTATGTGCCGTTAGACCAGAAAGCTTCATCAAAGTGATTAGAAACCGGTGTGGGGAACGACGCCCATTCGTTATCTCCGCCTAAGCCCCGACAGATTCCAGCCCAGATGTAATCAGGGATCAGTTCTACAATCAGTTAGATGATACTCTCAAAAAACATCAAGCTGGAAAGACATTGTAATGCTAGCCGGAAATATAAATGCTCTGATCGAGAGTCTAGGTACTGAGAAGCGTCGTTTAGGTAGCTAACAGGGACTCATTAGCCACAGGTGGATTAACAGTAGACGCCACCCGCAGCTTTGCACAGACCACAAGACTGTTACTCCTTTTAGAGTACTTATCTGGGCTCTGATCATGCCCTCGTTTGCGTTAATCATATCTTACGTCGCAGTGGTTAACAAATTTGTCGTTCTAAGCCGATTGATGCAACCAAATTGATTACAGCTTACATTAAAACCAATTATTAAACCAAACTAGGTTCAAGGTTAGCTAACTTCCTATCAGCGGGATATCGATTAGATTAAAGCACGTTCCGTGCAGGAATGTGTTGGGGCACACTGATTGGCTATTTCTTAACGAATCAGAGCTAGCGTATGCTTAAAGAACACTCTAGAATCTTCTTACGTGAAAATTATAAATATATTAACGTTTTTCGTATTTTGATTCTTACTTACATTCAACCTTGTTATTTAGAATGTAATTACGTTCCTGTTCAACATTGTTCTGACTTGGGGAAGTATTGTCCAAGAATGCTAAGCAATAAGAGTAGTTCGGTCGTAAAAAGAGAACATGTAACACGTCCCACCGAAAAGTATGGATGAGCACCGTCTGCATTTGCCTGACGCTATGAAAAATGGCGAATAGATTCGCTAGTGGCTTAGCTAAACGTCTCTCTTGTAAGCACAGAGCTTTTACAAGCTCCTTATAATTCATTGAGGCACGTCGGTCTACTCCAGCTAACAGCGAGTTTAACGACAGACAGACGTTCTTACGTACAGAAATTGCGTAAAGTTTGCGTAAAAACCAAGAAGCCTGGTGATCGGAGCACAATAAAGGATTAGAAACAGCGGCTTCATCTGGCAATCACGAAGAGCTCTTCCAACTCATCCGAGACACTGATAGCAAGAAGTCTGGTGTGAGAGAAGCGATCTGTGATGCTGATAGGACACCGATCAATAGCATCCAACAACGTCCTAAATGATAGGCAGAGTTCTTCGAGGAACAGTCCAGCTGGTCTACTGGCTCGGAAATATCAATGAGACTGTCCTGTTCTCTAGAGTTGATGAAAACTTCCCCACCAAACGAAGCAGGAATCTGCAAGTAAATCCAACTCCTGAAGTGCATAGATCATCAATCCTAGATGACTTACAACTGGTCTTCTTTAAAGGAGGTGGTGAACCTCTTGTCAGAAGATTGACTGAGTTGCTTACAAAAGTTTGGGAATTAGTATCCAAATACCCTGGAATGAGAAAATAGTCGTCCCTATCTTTAAAAATGGTTCACGTTGCCTATGTAACAACCATCGGGGGACAAGTTTACTTTCGATTGCGTCCAAATCATTAGCTTCCGTCATACTTCGTGGACAGTTTGAAGCCCATGAAAGACCAACTCGCGAGGAGGCTGGCTTTCGATTTTGTCGTAAATGTATTGATCACATCATCACCATCTGCCAAATATTAGAACAGCGCCATACCTAATGTAGGCCAACAATGGTTGTGCTTTTGATACTAGGGCTGCCTTTGATTCGCTAGACAGGACTTTTTTCTAGGATTGTCTATTGAAGGAGAGTGTACTTGAGAGGTTTATTCACATTCTGAAGGCCCGATATATAAGCACCTCAAGGCAGAGTGAAAACATACAACAATCTCTTTCCATTGTTTCGGCCAAGTAGTGGGGTTAGGTAGGGTTATCTAACCTTACTGTTTCTCTCCAACTTAGCTATTGATAGCGTTCTGGAAACAACTCTGATGGATGTAAATAGTGGTGGTGTTGATCTGTTGCCTGGAGAAAGATTTTTCAACCTTGACTATGCGGATGATATTATCCTTCTGTGTGATAGTACTCAAGCTATAAGAGTCTCAGTTAATCAGTATTTGTGGGTACGGCATGAGCTTTTCACCTTCTAAGCTCCAAGAACTTTTATAAGACTAGCAGGACCCTGTGCCTGCGCTCACTCCTGATAATGAGCAGTTATAAGTAGTCGAGAGTTCTGTGTATCTGGATAGCTCTGCAGGTTCTGGGTGGTGGCGTGAATGGTGAAACCAATTTACGTAAAGTAAAAGTCAGAGCAGTTTGTGTCAATCTGGAACACCTCTGGCGCTTTCGTTGTGTTAGCATGGTTGTAGAAGGCCGAGTTTACAACGCTTCGGTGAGAGCAGTTTTGCTCCACGCTTGCGAAACCTGACATCTCCAATTTGAAGACGTCAAGCAACTCTATGTGTTCCACTATTGTTTTTTCCGAAATATTAAGGACATTCAGTGCCAACACCATGTAATTAATACGGGGGTGTAGCAACATGTGCTCGAACACTGGCGACAATTAAACTGGTGTCACCAGCTCGAAACATCAACCTCGATAGCTTGGCTGTGCTACGAATGCCATGCTACGGACTTCCACGTTACGCTTTATTTGCCGACACTGGGACTGGTTAGAAAAAGTGGAGATAGTCCGTTTATAAAATGATCCTGGGATACAAAGGAGAGTTGCACAGGGCTGGCATCTGTCGGTCCTTCATGACTTTCAGGTTGGGATACAAGAGGTGTTGCAACTCAGTGGCGTGGGATGTCATCAAATATGGCTTAGAATATAAGCCAATGTGGATCCTGCTGTAATTTTCTTTGACTATATTTCAAAAGTGAGAGGAACTTCCTTAACTGGGAGGATTCCTTGTGACTGTGCTTTTTACAACTGAAAAGTTTCGCCCACCATAAACTACACTTATCCACTTTTTTTTACTTATTTACTGTTTTTCATTACATTTACCTTCCTTTCTCTATTGCTTCACAATCTCATTTTCTTATTTTATGACATATTTATTATGGCATTTATGTCTACTAATATTTGTGTTTAAATAAATAAATAACCTCAACGGAACTCGGTGGTTTTCGTATCAGAAAGTGATGACACTGATATGATAGGAGGTCATAATTCGAAGTTCTACACCGTGGGCTGACTTCGATTAAACAATACAGAAAAACTGGATGAAATGGACAGATGTTTCATTCTAGTATTGGGATCCTTAGTACTGAGAATCCACGACCCAACTAGGAGTCGAAACAAAAAATTTAGATCTCGCAGCGAACAATCAATCGTTAGATCAATTCTAACTGTAAGCAGTATAAGATGATGAGCAACTTTCATCCATAGCCTTAGTGATACCTTTCTCACTCCTCACAATATGGGTTCTGACAAGGACTTCAGAAGTTCTCAAAGTCGCCAGTAAGTAAACGATTATTGTTAGGATGGAGGGCTTATGGACATTATTCAATTTAGAGTTTACATGATAACTAGTATCTGGCCACGATCCATGATGATACGGTTTCGATTAAGAAGAAAGGACTGTCCAATGCCCCCTAGTTTCCAATGGATCTCCATCTAATTCAAGTTTAGAATTTAAATTGTTTTCGAGCACATTTACCTTACTGACAACTCCAAATTTGTGTGCAAATACTTGGCTGCTAGTGAGTACATCGAATTGCATTTCTGATCACGGAACATGTCAAAAATTTACGGCATATCTCATCCTGCATTCTTACTTATACGTTAGAAATCATTATCACGAAGTGAATATTTCAAAAAGTATGTTCTGTTACCCATTAATTAATAGTTGAAGGGGCAATATACTAACAGATGCTGGAGAATTCAGCTCAGGTAATCAGTAAATATAGAATCCAAGCTTAACATATAAACAATGTACCAACAAAAAAAGCACCACATAAACTTGCCGAGTTTGACTGTTTTTTGATGCATCAAAACCAGATGTGAAAAATTCAGCCTTACTACCGGCAGGTACAACTTTATTAGCGGCTGCAAACAAGCCATGATTTGGTTTACAAGTAAAATATCTATGCAGAAAAAAATTTAAAAGTATAAGACTTTACAAAACTACCGGATTTATTACATATTAATACATTTAAAATGAATAACAATATTGTTGCTGGATACAAAGTCTATATGACCGAAAAAATGACCTTCAATAGATAAATAAAAATACAGGATGACCGGGCTGTTATTAACTTTAGTGATGAAAGACAAGCATATACTCACTTAATGTCTTAACTGAATAGAAAACAGGATCAAATTAAATAAATGTTAGTGAATCATACAAAGTGACAAAGCTTACCTAAAGCACCAACCCACTAGATAGATTATGTTAAGGCTGCTTGTAATGTGAAGCCCTAACATAATTATGGACATATTAAGTAAAAACTCACCTTCACAGTGATTAGTCAATAACTATCGGTTACTTAGGCACTATAGGCACAGAAATTCTCTTTGACATCAGTTTATTTTAACACCCTAGAAAGAAATGATCGCAAAGACAGTCTTTTAGCATCATGTTTCAAAATGTTTAGTGGAGGCCCCATTGCTCTTACTAAGTCCCAAATAAAGTCTCATTCATCAATGGAATAGTGGCTAGAAAACCAAAACATTTTCGTCCTATCTAGTTCCGTTCGGGGAACCGAGTAGTATCAGCAACACAATATATGTGACTTAAAGCCCAATAAACAAACCTGAATTTGACAAATAAGTCACTTAATTGATACAGTAGAATCTTGCTAAAAAAAGACTATTTTTAGTATTTTAGAATAAGCAATATCTACCTTTCGAATAGTGCAAATGACCTTAAACTAGAGATAGTCAATTTTGTCTTCTAACTGGAGCACAAGAACAGTATTCCATCAAAATATCAGTTGACTTAAAAGTTGCATAGAACACTGGGTGCATATTTCTAGCAATGATCTACTGGTGTCAGATAAGTATATATATGCTCAAAATCAGTTTTAAAGTTCCTTTATCAGATACCAATTTTATCAAGCAATCTGAGGACATGTCAGGCAGTTTCAATATAAATCACTATATTCTCTGAAACGATACCAAATTCCCCTGGTGCATATATAAACCATTACCTTCACACCAACTTCTTATACTCTATCCATTTATAATGAAATATAATGTTTGACGGTTTGACTAATATCTAATTTTACAGAACTATCACAAAAAGAACAGAATAGCGTACCGTACGCCAGAAACTGAGCCATCGTTCTTCCCAATAGGGCTATCCAACTCAACACCAGCCCATTCGCCAACAGCAAACTCTGTAGGCCCAAGATATCTGAGGATACCAATTCGACCTCCAGAAACCTGAACATGATCACCAATTTGCAAAGTATTTCGTCCAGATGCACAGGCAGGAGAGTTCACTAGAGACACCTTGGATGAACAGACACTATCGACATCTAAAACGCTGTTTTGTTTTGATTGATTGTCTGGCACTTTATCAGGAATTGTTGAACCAACCTAAAATATTAGGAGTAAAAAATACATAAACTCGACGACTTAGTAATAGCTCATAACATATGTTCAATGCAACAAAACATTTGGACAAATCCAGGATACAAAAGCACTAAAAGACAGATTTATCCATATCATAAGTTTGGTAGCTTCAGATGACTACAAATTACAGGGAACTGTACAGACCTTTAACTTACAGGCTTAGTCATATCTGCATACACGGGATTAAAAAATGTACCATAACCAGAAAGTTACAACACCTTAAGATCGGATTGCAATTATGTCATTGTAATATCCTCTAAAATAAATTGAAGGGAATTTAGACCGCTAGTTATTCACATGAATAAATCAGACGTCCAAATTGAGATTTAGGTAGTTATACCAGTTTTCGAAATTCCTACAATTGAAGAACATATGGAACTCAAAACAACTTTCAACCAATATCAAAGTCAAAATCTTTAATACGAACGTCAAAGCAGTTCTACTGTATGGAGCTGAAACTTGGAGAACTACAACAACCACAATCAAGAAAGTACAAGTATTTATAAATAGCTGTCTTCGCAAGATACTCAACATCCATTGGCCGGATACCATCAGCAACAGCCTTCTGTGGGAGAGAACAAACCAGCTTCCAGCTGAAGAAATTAGGAAAAGGCGATGGAAATGGATAGGAAATACGTTACGCGAATCATCAAACTGCATAACGAGGCAAGCCCTGACTTGGAATCCTGAAGGGAAACGGAAAAGAGGAAGGCCAAAGAACACATTACGTCGGAAAATAAAAGCAGATATTAAAAGGATGAGTAGTGACTGGAAAGAGCTGGAAAGGATTGCAAAGGACAGGGTTGGATGGAGAATGCTGGTGAGCGGCCTATGCTCCTTCACGAGGAGTAACAGGTGTAAGTAAGTAACTAGTTTTCAAAATATAAATTACTATCATGACTAAAATAACCTTTTTGAGTCTAGCTATAAAGCTTCAGTAAATCACTTACATAACGCTCAGCTGTGGCATTCAAGTAGCGCAACACGGTGTTCTTGTGTTTTTCAGCATAAAACTACACGTCGTCATCAGACAACCATAGTTTCTTTATACGACTACTAATTTGTGCGACTTCAAGACAACAATTTTATCGATACAGCCGACAAAACAGACGTTCCATATTTTTCCTACCATTTTATAATGCTGTTATACCCAATAACTTCAGCTGCTTAGAGATCGGTTGCCGCGTTGTAAGTCCAAGGACCACGCCTAATTAAGATAAGTGACATCAACACAATAAGTACAGTCTAGAGTCTAGTATGTCTACTTTTTTACTACTGATACTACTAATTCGAAAACCTTTATATTCCCAAAATTCCGTCACTCTATGATGATTTGATGGTAACTTGAGCCTATGCGCATTTGCGCTAGGTTTTTTATTGATTATGATTGACTGACCGAGAGCCTAGTATGGAAGCCAGCACTTTTATTAGTTTTTCATGTTGTTCAAGTTGAAACACTTTAATTACGAACCACCCGTGTTTACTTATATTTAAATATGATTGTATTAACATTTCATAGCTAGTAAGATTGAGATCCATGCTTTAAACACACCCATAACTCTCACTTTAAAATGATAATATAAGGATTATGTTCCGATCTATGGCTGAGCGATTACCGTCCAACATAAGCTAACCCTGTGTTTACGACAAGCCTGGCATTTTTGAAGACCAGACGTTAGGATGATTTGAAATCGGATAAAAAAAGCTTTATAATAATGATTAAGAAGAAATGTACCTTTGCACGATTAAAATGTGATCATATGTGAGTTGAACTGGTTTACTACCACTCAAACAAAATGATCACGGAATAAAGATGCTAGATTAATTCAGGAGAGCAATGTAAACCATAGGGTCGATTGTTGCACAGCTCCCATGTTTGTTACGTTTAACCCAATGAAAATGGTAACTAAGTAACCTCCTGATAACTAGGGCCCTTCGAAACTTGATAGCCCCATAAGTGACAGAACACTGTGAAAGTTTGACCTTAGCCCATTTAAATGTGTAGTGAGTAGCTAAATAGTATGCAGAAATGAACTAATACTGGTTTATCGACGGATCGTAAGACGTATGGCTGTAAAGTATTTGACACCATGATCAACAAGTTGAGCCTTAAAGTCCCATCCAGGTTTTTAAAGACTCTGATTGAGTTATTGCAGAAATTTTGGCAATCTGACTTACTTTTGAGCAGGATTCCTCAGGTAGAGGGTTTGGTGCAAGTCTGACATTACCACGCTTAGAAAATATTCCATGCAATGGACTACAAGTGAAATACTTCACACCATCGACACAACCATCATTCTTTCCACAAGGTGAAAATAAATTCACACCAATCCACACTCCACTGGCAAACTGCGTCTCTCCGATGAATTCTATTTTACCTATCCGCTGGGTCCCAGGACCAACATATACAACATCACCAACTGTAAATTCTGTTTGTTCCACATTTAAAGTCTCTTGGTCACAGTGACTCATTCAGCAAACTAGATGAAAAATGCAAAGATCCAACATCAAGGATAAACAACAAGTATATTAACCTTCAGGTTGATGCGTCTCTGAGGGTCGTCAGTTTCATAATAGTTCATTTCAACAAAGACTTATAGATAATTTGTCATCCGATTTCCCCTCGCTTCAGAACTTGCACTAGACTTTACGGGGTGCCATACAGCCTAGTCACTTGTCTTGTCTTGTCTTTAGTAATAAGGATAGTAGGTTGGTGAACCTGTATTAATCCTGACACACTGCTTTCCAGTGAAGGTCCAGCTTCTCCTTGAAAGTATTCACTGATGGGGCTGATACCACTTGTTCGGGTAAGGCGTTCCAATCATTGACTACTCGGTGGGAAAAACGGGACCCCACTTTAAGTTTATTAGATCGTGGTTTATGAACCTTCTTGCTATGACCCCGGAGATTATTAGTGCTGGAGGGAGCAAAAAGATAAGACATATCAACACCCAAACCATAATTAGAGATACGAAATGTCAGTATAAGGTCACCTCGTGTCCAACGATACTACAAGGGGAAAAGATTTAGGCATTTTAGACGCTCATCATAAGGGAGTCTAGAAAGACCCTTCACTAATTTCGTTCCTACACGCTGGACACGCTCAAGGGAGTTAGTATCCTTTACCAGACACGGGCTAGCTGCTTGGATACAGTACTCTAAATGTGGTCTAACATATATGGGATATAAAATTCGAAACGTTTCCTCGTCAAAAGACTTGAACTCTCGGCGAAGTGACCATAACGCACGAAAACCTTTGACAGCGGCTGCGCTGCAATGCGTAGTTGTTTTAAAGTCATGTCTTATTATTACTCCTAAGTCTTTATGCTCTTGAACGCATGGAAGAGGTTTACCCTCGAAAGTGTAACGGTAACTATTACCGTGACCGATGTGCATTAGCACACTCTTCCTAGCATTGATTTCTAAGCCCCACTCTCGAGCACATCTAACTAAATCGTCTAAGTCAGCTTGAAGATCCAGATGATCAGCCTCACTTTTTATTGTTCTCCAGATTTTTACATCATCCGCAAACCATAATGTCGACGACCTAAGTAACAGCGGTAACTCATTAACGTAAAGAAGGAAGAGGGCCTAAGATGGTGCCTTGGGGTACATCACTTTTGACCGGCTTCCAATCGGATAGCGTTCCGTTGACCCTCACTCTCTGTCTGCGGTCACATAAGAAATTTCCTATCCATTCATGTGCAGTACCTATTATTCCGAAGCTCGTGAGCTTCTGCATAAGACCTACGTGTGAAACCTTATCAAATGCTTTGCTAAAATCTATGAATATCACACCGACAGGCAGACAGTTATCTAGGGCTGCTGTCCAATCCTCTCTCGCAATAAGCAAGTTAGTCAAGCATGAACGCTTGTTACGAAATCCGTGTTGCTCAAGAGCTAACAGATTGTGTGAAGCTATGTGGCTTAGCAACTTAACCCGAATTATCTTTTCAAGTAACTTAACGACTATGCTAGTTAGACTGACAGGCCGGTAGTTAGATACTATCTGTCTCTGACCGTCCTTAAATATAGGACTGGCAATAGCATCCTTCCAATCTCTAGGTAGTTGAGCGAGTGGAAGGGATATGTTGAAGAGTGTCGCAAGCGGTTTGGAAATAATCTCCGCAAGAGATGACAGCAACCGTGGATATAACCCGTCAGAGCCCGGTATCTTACAAGATTTGAGGTTAGTTATCAACGGAAGGACAGTCTCCTCAGTCACCTGTACAGATTCAATGGTTGGTATCTCGGTGTGAGTGGGACAAGTATTTGTTACAATAAACGTAAAGAAGACTTCGCTAAAATAGTTTGAAAAAGTCTCAGCTTTTGCTCGACTTGATTCAGCTAGTATTTCTGAATTTTCGTGTAACAGTAACGAGGGAATACCATCACTTCGTTTCATTCACCGTTTAACATACGAAAACAATAGTTTCGGACAAGTACGGCTATCATATACTAACTGTCGTTCGTAAGTGGTAAGGGATTTGGCTATGGTTTTCTTACAGATATTACGGAATTTTTGGGACTCACGCTTAAATGGAGCATGACCTGTCAACAAGAATAAGTCCCAGAAATGTTTCTTACGCTTTAAAAGCTTCCAGGTTTCCTTATTAATCCATGGAGGACAATGTGATAGCTTACGTGCTGACCATGGGATAAACGGCGACGTTACGGACTCGAACGTGGCCTTAAACTTATTCCATTCGTCTTCGATCGATCTATCCGCGTCGACCGACCAATCAGTCGAGATTACACAGTCTCTGATCGCCGGAATATTGACTCGCCAGATATTGGGACGGGGTGGAGCAGATACGAATTGAATACCATGTGTCCTAAACTTAAAGTGAATTACGTGATCACCATTCACTAGTAGGGGAAGGTGCTGAATATCTGTTATAACGTGAAAAATATTTGCTGCGGATTAAGGGTAGCGAATTATTGATCGGACCAAAGACGCGCAAACACTTAGAACGACCTAGGGTTCTGATTGGTCTCGCTTCCCTGTCTAGCCCAGCCAGATGAGTCCAGAACGCAAGTCACAGCCTCGGATATATGAATCATCATATTTCAACCATACTTTGTTTATATACCAGTCAAGCAGACCACAACGTACCATAAAATAGAAAATAACATTGTACAATAATGGCCAGTAGGAAAATGACACGTTAAACAAATATTGACCAATAAGATGATACCATTCCATGTCCAAGGATAGCATTAGGCTTAACAGGATAATTTTGGGGATATTTTCCTGAATATCCCAACAATATCGAAGACATCCTCACAGTGGTGGGTGAGGGCGAGATCCAGCATTGACGGATCATGTTGCAAATCAATATGTGTCGGTTTTGTGATACATCGTACAAGTGCACACTGAATAACAGTAGATAAAAGGTCGCTATCGAAACCACTACCTGGAGCTGTAAGCTCTATCCAGTTGATATGCGGTGCGTTGAAGTCCCCAATGATGAGACAACATTCTGCCATACTCCAAGAACAGATGTGCCGTAGGATAAAGTCGTCAGCAAGACAAGACGGACTACGGTATATTCCCCCTATAGTCACTAACCCATTTCTAGATTAAATCTTACAACATGCAACCTCACATGTGCCACTGATATGAGCCTCCGATATGGTTGATTGTATACAAAAGTGATCCCTAACGTATAATATTGTACCCCCCCATTGCGACTTGAAACTCTATCACTTCTAATACAGATGTAGCCCGCAGTGATGGGAGAACAGTCAATATCTACTGTGAACCAAGTTTCTGTAAGAACGATTATATCGGGACATAATTCTTCCACCATCAGACTTAGCTCAGACGTTTTGTTTCTAAGACTACGAGCGTTCGTGTAGCACACACTTAAGGTCTTTTGATAATCATTCGTTCTACCCAAACAGGCCTCGGAAGCATTGGCTTCCAAGACCTGACCACCCGAAAACCCTTAATGGTAAGGTTATTTTCGCCATTTAATTTGCGAGTCTTCAACTCCATAAGAGCATTCTTCCACTTCATTCGATCCTCAAGCGGCCAATCTGGTCGAATACGGATATTTGAGCCACGAGTTTTTGGTGCGTTTTTCAATAGTATGTCTCTTTCTTCGAAACTCCCGAGAACCAGCTCCAGGATTCTTCTTGGTTGGGTCTCGCCTCCAACCCGTTTACCAAGTCGTATTACTTTTGTAATATGTACCCCTGAAACCTCTTCAGGTAGTACATTTCTTACCACAGACTCCACTAACCGCAGGTCATGTGCATGTCTTCTAGCAGGGTCGTTATCTTTCGACTCCTCTAGATTCCAAGTAATTAAACTAGGAAGGGGTTTAGCTTCCTTTGAAATAGTGTTAACAGCTTTCGACCGTGACGATAGATCCTGCATATTAACTACTGATATCTTATGGTTAGGTTTTATTGTAACAGAGTCCTGGGAGTGACTCACAACAGTTTTAGACAAAGCTTTACTTTGAAGCTTTGGTGGATTGGTCTGAGAGTCCACCAGGGACTTATTAGGCAAGCAGTCATTAGTTTTAGCTGTCTTTCCTACTCTTCTGCATCTTCGCGTAATCCGTTTTACATCAGTCGAAACATCTACATTAGAACAACTCGGGACGGTAGTTGTCTTATCTGGATCACCAGTCGCAGTGGTAGCAATATGGCCACCAACGTTTAATGAGGTGTCACTCACTGATCGTTTCGGGGGAGAACGTTGCACAGGCAGATGTCTAGCTTGCGCCGTGACAGCACTTACGACACTAACGCAATCTTTGCCACCAGTGCCAATGTTAGCAGTACGGCCCTCATCAACCTTCTTATTAGCCAACATCAGGAGGCTAACTGCTTCCTTGATGAGTAGTGTTTCGCTCGAGCAACAAAAACTACAAAGCCAATGGGAGTTGGACTGTTAGCACCTTTTATATGCAGTGGGGCTTAATCGGGTGCACATCTTATGGAACCACTTATTACACACATCACATTGCATCCCTTTCTCCACGAGAAATAAGCAGTATGGTTGTCCACATTTATGTGCAGATCTAGCCATATTGGAAAACAACTAGAACGGTGACAAAAACAGGACATGTAAAAGGGTTCTCAAACCTTAACTAAATAAACCAAGTAAAAGTCGACCAAGTATGCTTCGATGCAATAAATACACAAAAGCAAAATCAAAACACTTAATACAATATCACTTTAACTGGGGTAGATGTAATTAAAGTGTAAACAGTAGTTCTGATGCGTAATTTACGACCAAAGCAGTTAATTAACTCAACGAGAAACAATACCACTTCACAATATCACTTCACTTTAAAGACTCCATACAAAATATGGTTTAAATGTCATTAGTCTAATATGATCATAATTATTCATTATACTTTAAATTATTAACCATAAAATCGCAATATCGAGAAGGCGTATAAGCTTCGAAGTTATCCAGATTGAGCTTTTGACGACACTAGGTAGAGCAGTCAACGTTATTTTATAAATGACCGTCAACTTCAGTTGGTCATTCAGTAATAAAGGCAAGCTGTGAAGCTCTATAATTTCCAATATCTCCTTT